CAGCTTCTCTTGCCGGCATTCTTGGCCTTTTCTTGGCATTTCCCAGTTGATTGCGGCCGACACAGACTTCCAATTGAGCCGTGGCCATTAGTTGGAATATACGGCATAATATTTAATGGGCCCAGTTTAAAGTTGCGGCCAATAAGAGAGCGGCCGAGATAAAAAAGAACGCCAGAGACTGGCCAAAAGGCAATAAAAGAAGACGAGGCACCGAGCCAATGATGTGGAAAGGGGGAATCCAAGGGGGGCAGAGGCTGACAATGCCGACGCAGTTGGAATATTCAGATTTTCATCTCGCATCTATGAGATACGTGAGCCCCTTGGCACACTCACAGGTACAGTGAGCGAAATAAAAACAGGAACGCAGGAAATCCTTCGAGGGGCTCGGTATCCTCCTTAACCGTCTGTAGATAAATTGCTCAAGCGGCAGAAACGAGTTGAATTCCAAAACTAGAAACGATGCCAGCTAAGAATACAAAAACACTCAATGCGCACCTGTCGCCAGGTAAAAACGCAACCGGCGAACGTCTTAGTCAGCAGAAGGCAAGGCAAAAGGAAAAATAAACCAGAACCTAGAGACAAAAGTCCAGAAAAATCACACACAGGTAGAAAACAAACAAAATGGGAAAAGTGGGAAAACAGAGAAGAATCGAAAATAAGACAGCGCGAGAAGCGGAGATCTAGCATATAGAATCAGAATCCACCTGTCACTGGCGATCTCACCATTCTTAGTTCTTCTCTCTCTCTCTTTCTCTTTTTTTCAAACTCTTCTGAGCGGCTTTGACATTTGATCGCGAGTTTTGGGCTTTCCGATGCGCTACTCTCTCTAGAAAGGGTATGTAGATTCAAGCCAGAATCTTATTGGTAACGAACTAGGTTGAGTTTTTACTTCAAGGGTATAAAGTGCGTAATAAGCCTATGGAGTGTTTTCACTATATTGCTAAGACATGAAATGTTTTTAGAGCATGATGTGACCACTTTCTTATCGCAACACTCACAGCCTTTCTTAGGATTTTATGACCGAGAATGGCATTGGGATCATTGGGATCGCCATGTGCATCAGTTTTTTTTTTCGTATTTTCTAGAGCTCCCTGTTCGCCATCTCTTTCGCTCCTCGTATCTCGGGGCTGCCACCATTTATTTTTAACCCTCGGGTAACTTTAATGAGCTTAAACTGACCGCTGTTGGCGGCTCAAAATGAAAACACCACAGATTTGGTAGAAAAGGCTACGTAACATGAGAGAAGTCTTTACGAATTAGTCACTGTGATTAATGAGCCGACGTTGCCATCTCTCTCGCACCGAATCCATCCGTCCCTGTCTCGCTTCCAGACAAAACATGTCCGTGATTTATTTCGTGTGAGCTCCTCAACGAAGATTACAGGTGTCTTCGGTGGGCTGCGGCATGCCTTGTGCAACCCTGGGCTGCCCCACCGCCTTTATCTGGATCAGCAGAGCGTAAAGGGGCTGGATGCCAGTGGCGAGTGCATGTGTTTGGGTCAAGTTCAGTTGTTTTGGAGCTATCTCTGCTCATTTGGCTATGGAAATAGTGTAAATTGCATGCGAATGACAACGTTCATCAGCAAAAGATGCGAGCTAGTGCCGAAAGCAGTATTTCGCTGACAAGTAGCTCCCCATTTGCAGATGGTCTATGGCTGCGACTAGGCACCCACCAGCCTCCCAAATGTGCCAGCTTTCAGCAAACCGCCCCTGAACCCTCCACTGTTTGTTGTCTTCGATGCGACGGCCTTCGAAATGTGTACACACCAAGCACAGCTGAGAGCGAAAACCACCCCCAAAAGGGGGTGGCTCTGGATCCAAATCCGCCTTCGAAAACGCTCTTTCTGGTCTAGGTTAGGTCGCAGAAATTTCGACACACACGCAGCGTCCGGCGGAATGTGGTCCACCACAGCCCCCTCCCTACCCGGAAAAGGGGATTCGCTCGCTGGGCGGAGGAAAGTGTGTCAGGTTCGAAACTCACCTGGACGAGCGAACTCCTTGGAAACTGGATTTTATTTTTTTTATTTTTGGATTTCTGGAGTGACTCCTGCTGCTTTCTTTCGCCGGCGGCTGTGCTCTGCGTTTTGCTTCTCTTCGTTTGTTGTTATGGTTTTTGCCGTTTCTTTTACTTTTATTTGCAGACAGGTGCACTAGCAACAACAACAACTGACAAAAACAACAAGCGCACACACGCACACGCACACAGCGACGATTTTCGCGAGCGTCGCGCACACACACACGCACACACACACAAACTTTGGCTTTGAACTTCTTCTTTCTTCCTTCTGCTTTCTTTCGCTTTGCCCTTTTGTGCTTTTTCCTCTCCACTTCGTAGGTTTTATCTAATCTCGGTTTCTGCGTGTAGATAATGCCCAATAGCGAAATAGCCGCGCCACTCGACTTTAATTATTAACTATTTGTATTTCTCGCGTTCGTCTGCCTCTTTCTCGCAAACGCCGCACGCTGCGAACACAAAACACAGGCAAAACACAATCGCACACACACACACAGACACGGAGGCACGCGTACGCACACAGACACGGCGAATGGCGAACGGGCAGCGAAACACGTCCGACGCAGCGAAATTTTGGAGGCGCTTTGCCGCTTCGAGCTCCAAATGCCCCAAACAAACTAGAGGTGGCAGGCAATCGATTTCCCCATCGATACTATCGAGCGCGGGGCTCAGTGTGACCAGAGCGGCAACGGTGCCCGGGCGAGTTGGCATCTCCGCCCAGCTTGAAATCCCGAAGTAAAAATACCGCAAAACAATTGTAAGGTATCGGTAAGTTCCAATACATGTCAAATGTATTCTGTAGAAAGTCGACATGTTGACATGTAGACTAATGGAAAGACACTTTCATTGCTTGTACACTGCTTGGCCGCACGTGGCGCTTTAACGAACTATTTGAATTCGAATTTTAATTTGTAAACCGCTTATTTGTTTAACCGCGAAATAAAATCGAAAAATAAACAGTAAAACCATTTTTAATAAATAGCAAGTTCTATTCTAATATTCTTTATTTTACATAATTTTTTTCATTTATTTTCGAAAAATAGGTTCTTCTTGAAATAAACATTTTACTGCTCTTGTCAATCGACTGGTACGAAAGGCTAATAATATGCAGTTGCTTATTCAAATTTAAGAAATGCAGTTGCACATTTAAATACAAAAAGCACGACGAATGCAAGTGCATACCTAATTTCAACTTTCAGCAGCAACAGGAGCGGAACACAGAGGCAATAGGGAAGATGATGATGGATTCTCGAGCAGAAGGAGCTCTTGAATCAGCACTGTCGGGATGAGTTCCAGTTCTGAGTTCCAGAAGATTGGACGCAGGTAATTTTTCATAGAAAATAATGAAAGAATGCTCTCTGCAGAGAGCAAGAACTGATTGGGTTGAATTGATTGTCACAGAATTAACCAAATACATGACATTTAAAGCAATATTACAGATACAGATTATGCAGAAGCTCAGTATGTTGCTGCTACCTGCACTAAATAGTTATGGAATAGTTATAGTTAGTCAAAGAGTTTAGACTAAAGGTCGCCTAAAGTGTATCTGAAAGATGTTGTATGCGTATTAAAAGCAACCACTGTTTCAGCACCGAAAGGCAAGTCCAAGTATCTGTTAATTTCCCATAAACTCGTTTCAGCTTCTGGTTGAAGCTCCCTGAACTCACAGCTGATAAACGAAAACGAATGCTCCGGCATTCTGGGACAACTTTGCTTACGTATTTTGTTTTACAACATGTTTGTGTTTGCGGCTGATATCCCACATCCATCCAGATAGAAGCGTGCTAAATATAAAAGTATCTGATAATCGCTCTATCTTTGACATCTCCACTCCGCCCAACCAAGCGATAAACTCACACGGCAGAAAGTCGCAGAAGGACAATGGGATGGAGGCGACCGGAATTCAACCGATCGACACCACCACGAATTAGAAATATTTGCAGTTTGCTACTTAGTGGCGAGACAGATTAAATATTTTACTTTGCACTCACATGACACACGAGATGGAGTCCCACTATCTTATCTGACAGCCAACAAGCCAAAGTTATGAACTCCCTCCAGGAAGCGCCGCTAGTCAGTTAGCCAGTTAGTCAGTTGAGCCCCTCATATAAAGGCTTTTGTGGTTTTAATGGAGGTTAGGCCGGGTCAGTGGGACGTAAATAAAAATATGCCGAGACACGGCGAGAAAATCTGTTGAGCATTGGCCGGTTGTCAAGCCGATCATATCTGGTAATTGGCGCCCAGCACACGTGCTTTGATCCCAATCAATCAATCAATCACTCGATATGAGCATGTAATTTCCCTATCGCTAATGAGTTTCCCTGCCCATGTGCAGGTGCTATCGAGGAATATGCTCGATTGCGGTCAGTTCAGTTCGGTATTCGCTTCGGTTTGCAACGCTGGAAAAACTTATAGAAATCTTCGCTGATGAAATGCATGAAGCTTTTGCGATTCTGGCACGATTTTCCCGTTCAAAAGCCTTCAAGAGCACAGCCTTCAGTGGAATTTTCGAGCGGAGGGGCGATCGTTTCACTGCCTTTGAATACGGCTGATGTATAGTTGTGGCAAAAAGTAAGGAAAAGCGGGGAAGAAGTCCAGGAATATGGTTTTAAAATAATGTGGTGAACATTTGACGAGCTTGCCAGCTTATTTAATGTGATTTATCACAGATTAGATACAACTAAAAAATCTGATGAATGATCATTTTTCACTGTGCACTTGGCTGCTCTCTTTGCTTTGTATCTTTGCCGACTTAATCCGCACACCGTTCAAATCTCGAGGGGTGTATCTGCAGCACCCAGCCCCTCCGGTGGGTGAACCTTGGCCTACCCAGTGATCTTTCGCCAGCCTCCAGATCCAGGTCCCCCACCTCCGAGAGCTGCGGGCTGCCAGTCACTCTGGCGGAGATCGCGACATTGTCGCACGTCAGCCGTCGCTCAGGTTTCGTTGGCTTTTATCTCCATTCAAGAAATCCGGAGACATTATCTCTCGGCGATCTTGTCGCATCAACAAAACACCAACTAGAAGAGCTCCGGATCGGCCACCAACACACCGAGCGACGCTCCAATTTAAGTTAGAATCAGCATCATCATTATGATCACCAGTGTGCTCAGAGATCCGGGGGATATGGGATCTTGGAGATCAGTAGATCTGTATATCTGTATATCTGTACATCTTTATATCTGTCTATCTGCAGATCTGTGTATCTGGGGATATAGCTGAGAGGTTGATAAGACGTTTTCATTTTCCTGCAGCTCAGTCACACAGCGAACGGCGACTGGAAAAGTTCGAGCGGCAGGCCAGGAAGGAAAATTTGTGAGCGAATCGAGAAAGTGTGTGGAAAGTGAGCAGTTCAAAGGAAAATCCCAAAGAGGAAACCTTGAAAAGTGCGGGGAAACGGAAAAGCTAATTGAAAACAACAACGCTCAAGTATTAGAAGTCGTGAAAACCCAAAACTTGCGCAAACTGTGCTCTGTGATTTAGTGTGTAATATATATATTTATATATCTACATATATATACGTGCATAGCTATACCTACAGCGACAACAACAACTGTCTTGGTTGCCTGGATGATCACAAATTTCAATTGAATTTAATCAAAATCACAAGAAAAAGCCAGCGAGAGAAATCGTAAAAGGCAAATAAACTACGGATTTAATTTCGAGTGCCTGCCATGTGTTAGTCTGTGTGCATCCGTGTATCCGTGTGTGTGCGTGTCTGTGTGTGCCTGTGTGTGTGTGTGTGTGACCGAGAAACTTAGATCGGTGGCCGCTTTCCATTGAAACGAACTTCAGCACAGTCCACGCACAGTCTATGCCAACAGCCGAGTGTTAGCAAGGGGAAAATGGGGAAAATGGTCAGCGAGGAAATGGCCACGGATCCGGCGGTCTCGGAAAAGGTGGAGCTGTCGCGATTCGGAGAGTTCTGCCAGCGGCGCGGCATCAATCCCAACCTGATAATGCTGAAGATAACCCTTTTCGTGATGTACGGCGGTGAGTAATGTGTGCACTGTATCATTAAAAACCAATTAGAAATCGCTCTTATCACCGTTCTTCATCCAGCTGGCAAAGAAACCAAAAACCTTCATTGCTCTGCGCGGCTTTTTACAGACATCACGCATACGACACGTTGGCTCCGGCTGTTTTGTCAAGCAGAACGAAGCGGAGTCAGAGGAAAAGCAACTTATTCTAGGCATTGGCTTTTTTCTAAAGTCCAAAGATATACAATATTTACGCAGTAATGGTAACTGGTTAAAAAGGGTGTTCTTTTTACAAGTTTTTCAATATTATGCGCTCTATAAAGAGCTTACTATAAGCTATATTGATTGGGGCTTCTATTTTCACACATTGAAATATCAGCGGTTGAAAGTCACGGGCTTTTCCCAGAAATATTTACAAATATTCCAAATAAGCGCGTCAACAGAGGGTACAGTTGCGCTTTTCCATATCGCTGGAAAGCAAACACAAGCGCAGCAGCTGGAAAAACGCCGAGCAAAGTCCGGGCAACCGACTGCTTCTCTGGCAGTGAATCTGAATTCATTATCACACTCCACGAAGCCCCTGCTCCCAAAATGTAGGGTAGCGGGCTGGTCGGAAGTTATCAATTAGGCTGGGGAAATATGTAACACATTTGTGTAAATTCAGTTAGAGTCCGATGCACATTGAGCAGATTTTCCCAGCGTGTGGCAATTAGGCATTCACAATGTGTGTGCCTGTGTGTGTGGCTGTGTGGGTGTGCCTGTGTGTGTGGGTGCGTCTTTTGTAAATAAATCTAGCTTATGAGACTTAAGCTTGAGAAAGGTTTGCTCTGATTCGCCTTGGACGAGTGTACGTCTGTATACGAGTGCCTATTTTCTGACCGTGCGCCATTTTCTGAATGCTTTTTCTGGCGGTCAATGGCAAAAAGATTCAACTGCCCACCCGCCCCTTTGTCTTTCGCACACTTAACTCGGTTTGTCACTGAAATGAGTATTAATGCGTTTTTTATTTGGCTCAAGACGGGCGGAGGATTCTTTTTCGGCATTTCTTTCACTTTCGTCTTGGTTTTGGGCAGTGCAAAGTTCACAGAACAATTTAATTGGCTTAGCTAAAATGTAATTTAAAACATTTCATTGGCTAGACATTGGAATTTCACAGCATGTATTACTATTTTTGTGGCTTCAGCTATCATGTTTCTGGTACATTTTGTTCCCTTTAAAATGTTATTCCGAATAATACATTTAAATTTAATTAAATACAAAGCTTCAAATGGCTACAAAGAATATTTGAGTCTAAAATTGGTCAAAAGCAAATAGTTATATGGCTTTTTCAGAAAGAATTGTATATCTTCGGCGTGGTGGTCACAAAAAAAGAGAATTTATTATTGAATATGAATGCAAGAACATTAAACTGTAATTAGTTGGTGAAATGTGCCTTTTGTTTGCGCAAGAACCCATTGCTGATTTAATTAACTTCATTTGATTATTTGTTCAATATTGATGTCGATGCAATCAGTGTGAATTGTGGCCTTTGTTCTTTTGATCTTTTCCATTTATTTCCGCCCGCACGATTCACTGTACAAGTTTTATTTTTGTGAAAAGATTTGTGGTTGCGAATTGGTCAGCGGACTCTGAAAATAAGGTCTTGCAAATGTAGGGCTTAATTATGCAAATGGGTTACAAGTTTCTCGAGAGTTTGCTTTCAATCAATCAACTTTAATTTCCGAAACCAAGTTATCCAGTGCAAGAATTTTCCCCAAATGTAAATTCACAATTCACCGGTCGATCGGAGTTCGAAATAAAAGCAGGGCGAAAAAATGAATCGCAATTAATAATTCTGGCAGCACATCGCGCACTTGTCTCCTCCATCTGCTCGCTCTAAAATTCACAAATAAAGTTCCATATATGTAGTTGCAAATTGCATAGATGGCCCGAACGTGTTTGGCAAAACTTTGTGCCAGCGAAAAACGGAATAATAATTATTAAAGTGCGTCGAGGGGCGAGGAAAACATTTAAATGGGCAAAAGGACATTAATTACGAATGACAGCGTGGCAGGAACAGATCCAAACCGAACGGAACTGAGGCGAACTTTCCACGGACAGCTGCACAAAAGAAATATTTGTTGTGCTTTAATCACTTACATTTAATGCAACAGTTTATGCATTATGTGCACTATTTAAAACTCTGCAGTTCACTGTATACTACTCGCAGCCTGCTTGGTCTCGCAGCTGCTCAGCTACGCACATACTTTTCTCTCTGTGTCGAAAAAGTCGATTGAACATGAATGGCGGCCGCCGAGCAAACAACCCTGACATGCTTGCGTTTCCGTTTCCGGCGAGCGAAAGGGAAGAAGCGGCAGCGGCAGCGGCAGCGGCAATACGAGCAATTAATTGTTATTGCATCGGGCAAACAGAAGCAGCTCCACACACACTCGCACACACAGGGCGAATTATTGTTAATTATCTGAGGCGATGCAGGAGCTGTAAAGCGAATTCAAGCCGCCGTTTTCCGAGGCCGCCTTTTAAGTGCACTTCAGCAAACGAATTTCATTCAGGACACGCACTTTTCCCACGCTCACACACACGTACACGCATATCCTTACGTGCCCGGCATCCTTGGCGTGTTTGCATTGAAATTGGTCAAGGCTGCGGAATGAATTGGTGGCCGGGCAGCCAAATTGGGAATGTGACTGCTGCCCTGTTCGCCCAATTTGCCACCATTATTTCCCTCGGTTGCGCCTCCATTTTGACTGCAGCCACGTGACGCGTTAATGTTCATAAATTATTGAAACGCAGGGGATTATCTGCGGCCGTTTTCGATTTCTGTTGCGCGGTGTCTCGGCTGGCACATTTTGAAGGCCATAAATAATAGCGATTTATGTGCCATAATGGACTTAGGAAATTACACAAAACCACTGGCGAGCAAGATTTTTCCGTATGTCCTTTTGCTGTAATGCTGACAAAGTCGTTGTTTTAATTCACTTAACTTGCTAATTTAATGACGCTCTTTGTGTCATTTAATTACGCGCCCAATGACAATGTTTTTGAATTGAAACGCGCTTTTCCACCCATCATCAAATTATATATTTTGCGGCCATTCCAATCGCCAAGAACTCCCATTTCGTAACTGCCTTCGACTGGTAATGCCATCATTGTGTCTGAGCCATTTCCCCTCCTTTCCATTTCCTGCCGGTGATTAAGTTCTGCCCGCCCGCGCCCATAATTCGCATAATAATATAATAATCCGCACTTTCTTCTCCCCCAGCGACCTCATCCCTGCTGCCCTACCTCACCATTCACATGCAGTCGATTGGACTCACGGTGGAGGAGATTGCCATTATCTACCTGGCCCTGCCCTTCACCACCTTCCTCAGTCCGCCCATCACAGGTGAGTAGATCGGGATCGGCGGTTAATTGCCTCCATGCACTTTCATTAGCCCGCCGCCTGGGTTTTAATTAAAAGTTTGCTTTGTTTGAGCAAAGTGAAGCCAGGCGAGTTTCGCCAAGAAGTGCATTTCAAGTCGCTCTTTAATGGAACTCGGCATCTTCGCAAGAAACCTGGGTGCACACGTTGGAGGTCAACGTGGATGCAGGACTTTAGTGGGAAATCAATCAATTGAGCCTGTATGATTTATTTCCAAATATACACGCGCTGCGTAAACACACATATATTTATTCAACCGCACAGCGGACATTTGATTGGTTTTATCCGCCCGCGTGGCGGACTTTTTCAAACGCCCAGCGTTTTTTAGGCCACTTTTCCGGGCGAGTGCGAATAATTTAATTCACTTGCAGTTTAAATGACAATTAAACAGAGTTCTGTTGCTCTGTTGCTCTGAATGCCTGTATGTGAAGTGCCCCCATCGTGCGGTTGCATTCTGCTCCTTTTGTGCAGCGCGCTTCGTGCGTTCTTATTATTTGCTTTCGCATTTTTAAACAAAAAAAGATGCATTTGCGGTATGAAATGTTGGCGACAGCGAAGGTTTTTAAACATTTCATGTGGACACTGGCTGCAGACAAATGTTGTGATGTTGTGCAGCAAAAAGTGGGGCTGGTGTGGCAAGTGCATAAAGCTGCTCGAATCGCCGCACATAAAAGCTGTGTGAAAAAATATAAAATGTGCGCTAAGTGAAAACGCTCTCGTAAAGTTGCGACATCAAAATTTCGATCATCCAACTTGCATTATAATCGCGCTTGATAGTCGCAGTTAATGGCATTGGGGGCTATAAAAGCGAAACGAGTTCGAGATGAACGAGCGAATAAAATGGCAGGGCAAGGAGTTTTGGAAATGAACTGCAAGTGCTTAAAGCAGTGTGTTTACTAAACATTTTAAGTTTGTGAGCTCTAGTCGAACATAGAAGCGTATGTGGTTTCATAATAATAACTTTGTGAGCATTGACAAAATGCAACCTAAGCCGCATTCGAGCTGCCAGCAAGCAATCAAATGGCAGACAACTTGCTTGGCGGAGCCAAGTATTGGATTTGCACGCCCCACGGTGCAGCTTGCAACGCCTTACAGCAATTTCGCTCACCGTACTTACTCGCTTACCGTACTGATGCCATTTTCCCGGCCACCCACCCGCAGGCTTCCTCGTTGACAAATTTGGCAAATACAAACCGGTCGTTGTGATGAGTCTGCTCCTGAATGCGATTTTCCACCACTCGCTGCTCTTTATTCCGCAGCAGGAGATTCCGGGCGTGGTGCCATCGGCGTTCGTATTGAGACATCCGGACAGCGGCGACATTGAGGTAAGTTCTTCCACTGCAAAAATTATCCAACTCTTTCTACCTATATGACAACCTAATAGCTCCACAGGAGAATGCATCCTTGAAAGCATGAAACTTTGCCACTTACGCACATTAGGTACGACTGGCTGCGGGTTGCATCCTTATGCGTTCAGCACCCAGGTTTTTCTCGCAGTGCACACTAAAGAGTGATGAAATCTGCACTGCAATCGATTAAAGCGCTCCACCTTCGTTTCAATCAGTTTGAATGTTTGGCGATGACTGTAATCTGCTTAGGGGCTGCGGTTGAGGTGGGCGTGGGCAAATATCTTTAGACGCTTGTTTAGTTAAGAGCTTAAAATGATGTGGCTGCGGTTTTCCAACCTCGATTCTGGCAGTTTTCCCTTGCGGCGAAAGTTCCCGGATGCGTTATTCTGCTGCTCCTGGGAAAACAGCTGTTGCGCTGTACAGTTTTAATGCGCTTATTTCACGGTTACCCTGCATTTTCCGCACCCACTTTACCATCATCGAGTTGAAGTCGCTCCGCACTTTTCCGATGCCTTTAAATGCACATTGAGCTGAGTAAAGAACAGGGGGAGGGGGTGTGAATACATCATCAGTACGGAAGCGTAGTTACTTGATATAATTTAATATTGCAGCGATTAAAGTTTTAGTTGCCACATTTTCTTCAAGCACTCAAGGCGGAAATAAATTCACATTTTAGCCAGCCCGTAATTCAAATTCAACTCGAAGTGTGCTGTATTTGGAGCAGCGAATTCATACCAGCCAGCCCGAGTATTTTCAATGGCAGTTGTTGCGTGTGAGTTGCCAAAAATCTTCGGCATCCCCCCTTAGCCATTCGAAACCGCTTTTAAGCCCTCTTTCCACTCCTCACAATGGCCTCACTTCAGTCACGGCACGTCTCTACTTTGGCGGGTACGCAGGAGCCAGCGGTGCGGCGGAGGAGAACTACATAAAAGCCGGCATTTATTCGAGGCAGTGGCAACATTATGTTGCCACATGCAACACACCCACGCCAGCACTCCGCGCACCAACACAACCGCACAGGCGTGAACTATCTGTGTGTGCACGTTGCCGCGTTGCGCGATTCTGCGGAAAAGCAGGGAGTTGCCACGTTCCGCCCGGCAACTTCCTGCCGATTTCTGGGCTCCCAGCAACTTGCCACATGCTGGCGCACACACAAACGCACACGGGGCGGATACGCAATGCGACGAGGTACGCACACACAGCACAGCGCGCATATTACGTATACGCCTGGAGGACCTGACTGGCAGCTATTCCTTTATTCCAGTGACACGACACTCGACGAGGTGGCAGCAAGCAGCTCAAAGATCGGTTTTCGTGTTGGCCAGTTTGCAGTTGTAGCCCGATTGGCGTAGGGAAATTGGAATTGAATAGGTTTCAAGGGTATTCCTCGCAAAACACGAGCTTAAGCATTTCAATCGGGTCTTGATGTTCCTTTAAACTTACAGATAAAAATGTAGTTACTTTAAGCCTGGACACAGTGCCGCACCATTTTTTATTCAGGTGCATGTGAGCAAATGTATTCTCCGAGTGCACATGTTTTCTGTCACCCTGTGAGTGCAGCAGCTGCAGTCATCCCCTTTCCATTCGCTTTTTGCCCTCAGCTTTTTGTCCTTTTCACCGTCGTTGGTGCGGTTCAGCTCCTGGTTCTATCTGCATTTGTGCATAAATTTGCGTCATGTAAAATCATCGAAATAAAGCAAATAAATGTCATGCCATCTGGGAGGGTCGGCGGGGTTAAGGGGTTATGTATGCCGTAGCACAATTTCTGTGATTTTCCCCAGCGTTTCCTTTTTATTGATATCGATATGTGTGTGTGCCCGCTTTATGCTTATGATCGTATCAATGCAAACGACTCTGACTCCGGCTTTGGGGCCTCGATGTTATTGCGTGTCCTTGGGGTCCTGTGGGTGTCCTTCCTGTAAGCCGGTTAGATGTGGCATAACAAATTTGAGTACAAGCTTTACGGCTGCCAGCAAGAGATTTCGGGCATGGATTTGCAGATGTGGAGCACAGCCACAGCCACAGCCGAGGTGTTCGACCGACTTCAGCTCCGTTCAATTCCCCCAATACGGCATTCTTTATGGAGTCAGCAGGAGAGCCAGGGCCTCACACCTTTTGGCAATTGCATTCGGACACAAGCAGCTCTTGAGCACTGGCAGCAAATTGCAGCAGTCGCAGGACTGCAGGACTACAAGAGTTTTACATAAATCGAATTATGGGCGGCGAACGAAGGGGCGGGGCATTCGCATGACTGGGATATTATGGTAAAACGAAGCCGAAGGGCCCTTGCGTTTGAGAGCGGGCCGAGGCTAAACAAATTCGAATGGAAAATGGAAAATAGGAAATGACAGCAGCAGCAACGCAGCCTGACAGCCAGCAAGCGAATGGAACGCATTAGAAACAGCTCACCAGACTGCAAGATTTTCCAAAGGAGGGGCGGCAGATTTTGGCGTTCTTCTGCAACTGCTAGACGGTGGCAAAAATCCACTTTGGCCGAGTGCACATCAGGCTTACAAGCACTAGCAGAAAATCTTGTTATGGTAAAACTAAATAATTCCCTCAACTTCAGATGTCTAGCAGTAATTGAATGACACAGGCATGGATAAGTATTTTTATTTTTTCACCATGGCCGTATCAATTTTTGCTTGTCCCTATTCTGCCAGCTATTTTACCATCCAATAAGTAAGAAAAACATGTGGCTTTTAAGAGTATTTTGCTTGTATTAAAAACATGTTTTTGTTGTTTGAAAGAGTCGCAGAAGGTGAAAGCGTACCTACTTAATGGTAGACAAATGTATCTTTCTGTTTGGTTGGGCAAAAGCTTATGGATTTTTCCGAGTGGCAGTGTGAGTGTTTCGTGTCCGTGGCTGTGTATCACGTACATTTATCTTAGTGTCGTTTTGCTAGCACTTAAGCCGCACTAAAACACCAACACACACACTAAAATCTCTCTCGTGCTCACACGCACAGTCACAAGCGCACTTACACTCACACCGACACTCAAACTCACACTCACACTCACACACGCAATCGCAGTCGCACTACAGCCATTGCCGTTAGCCGTAATGAAACGCAATGGAACTGTTATTTTGGGGGAGATTCCGGGTCCTTGGTCCTGGATCCTTGGATGGATCCTGCATGCTTGGCCCTTGGCCAAAGACGACCACTCCCCCCATGCGTGTGTGTAGTGTGTGTCTGAGCGATACGCACACACGCGTCCAGGGCGGCCAATTCCACCCAGCACTCGCCACTCGCCACTTGCCACTTGGCACGGGCGTATATTGAATTTGTATTTATGATGTGCCCATAAAATACAATAACACCATTAAAATGGCTGCAGCAGACAGGGGTAGTGCCGCAGCAAACTAGTCGAATATGCAGTACCCTATAGGGCACAGCCTGCTCACCCAATGCTCCAGTGTTCTAGAGAAAGCAATGTGCTGTTACTGGCAGGACACTGAAGTCCTGGTACCCCTTGCTAGAGCGCCTGGCTGGCAACAGGACATGCAAACGCATCTTATGGCTACATTTGTGTTCACTCCGCACGTTCCACGGACATCAGCATCCTTGGAGCAGGAGTCTCGTGCAGCGCCTGCCGTGTCCTGCTCCACTGGCCCGGCCATGTCCTGTTGCTTGCGGTTTACTATTTTATGCCATTATAGAGCCGAGTTCGGTTTGCCGTTTGGCATAAATTTATTTGGCATCGACCGCCGACGACGACGGCAGTGAACGGAAATTACCATTTTATTATTGCAGGCGGGCGCTCGATGCTGCCGCCCAATCAGGCCGTCCCCTGTAGCCCTTCGCCGAGCCTTATTGAATTCGCATTAAAATTGGTAACGGATATATGCGGGAACACGAGCACACAGCCGCAGGCCGTGCACTGCGAGAAACTGCACCCACCCGTTGCTTGCCAAGAAAATATTTAAAGCGAAACACAAACCTGACCGTTAACCCATTTATTGCATGGCAATACATTAGAAATCCCAATGAATCTAGAGCTGTACATAATTTTTAGCGTTGATGGTAGTGCGACGGGCTGCTTTTCTCAGTGTAGTGCTGTGAATGCAGATACACATAAAATCCGAGAGGTATTTGTTTGTGTTTGTGTTATTACGGCTAAGGGCTTAAGTTCATATATGGGAGCTTATGATGGGTTAAGTGCCACTTTTGGCTGGATTTCGATGGGCGGCGTGTGAAGATGGGGGTGTTTAAGCCCTGGCCACCACCGTTACATCTGCGTCATTCCATATGGTCTGGTTGCTAGGCCCATCTGGTAAGGTCTCATCGTCGCCGAGTCGGGCATTACCATCGCCCTGGCCCACTTGACGGTAGGACTCCTTCTCCTTCTCCTCCTCCTTTTCATCATCCTCGTCCCTGTCCTTCTCAACGTCATGCCCATCGTCATCGTCATCTTCGTCCTGCTCATCCACGCGATCATCCTGGCCTGGTGGAAAATCGAAGGCAGTGCGTAGGGAATCGCAATCGGAGTTGATGGCATCATCGGCTGGGCCCAGGTTCAGGTCCGGAATTTCGGGAAGCAGTAGCTCCGGCTTCGGATCAGGCTTCTTTGCCGGCTCCCTCACCAGCTCCATCTGCTGCTCCCCAGCACCTTTGCCATCCTCGTCCTCGCTTGATGCTTCCACAATTGAGTCCATTTTATCCACACTATCAGTGATCAGATCTTTGTCCACGTCGATAAGCACACCAGCGGGATGGAAGAAGTCTTCCAGCATCATTTCCCAGTCGTCGTAACTGGACTCAGTTTCAGGCATCACGGAGGTCGCTTGTTTTTTTATGAAATCCGATATTTCGGTTCCCGCTAGCTCGGCGTATTTTCCACCAGGTCCAAACATATGTTCGGCACTCGAGACGTCGTAGATGACGTCGTGAAGGGCCAGCAAGTAGGTTTTATCCGGGCGCTGCGAGTTGTACTTGGCCAACTGCTTCCGGTTGAGACGGAGTCCAGTGAGCGGAGCCGGCAGCTTGCGGTGCCCCTCGTTCTCGTAGTCCTCATCGTCGTAGGTTCCATGCTGGCGCCTGGTCTGGCGGTAGACCACGTATCCCAGGACACAGGTCAGCGCGATTATGACGAAGGGCGAGTTGGCCAGTTCGCGCAACTGGATGCTCCACGACTTGGTCGGCACAGAGGACATTGTGGGTTGCTCAGCTTACAGGGATTGTATGACCTACAAATAGCTTGCCAAATTGGTACTGACAAAACGGAAGGGTGACAGCGGGGAGTGCGTTCTTAAAGCCAACTGGGTTGCTCTAAAACGACTAGGATAGATTATTTGAAGCTCGAAGGATAGAAAAATGTGTGGCAGTAAATACCTTAACAATGTTCTCACATATCCCATCGCTTTGGTGCAGAAGCAATGAGCCAAGCTTACTGCAAGCTCAAACAATCGATGTAAGGAATCCGAGCAAATGTTCAGGGATATATGCAGTCCTTACTATAGCGCGCTTGCACAAATCCTTTACCCATTTCTAATTTCCAATACGTACTTTGTCTCTTCCCCACCGCTTGCCCGGCATTTTTCTCCGCAGGTCTGGTGGTCGCCGTGTCCAAGTCGGGAATGTCCGGAGGAGCCGGAGCTGGAATTGGCCGTGCATCAGTGCGTCGACTATTGTCTGATGCAGGAGCAAGTTAATCCTCAGCTTTACACGAATACCCCGGCGTATGATGTGCGCCCGGCAGCCACCTCGTCCACCACGCAGAGATCCCAGCTTACAGCAACCACAACAAGGACGACCACAATGGAACCCTCCTCGGAATCGAGCTCATCGCCGGCCCCAACCACATCGACCACCACATCGCCGGCGTCATCATTGCCAGCGTTATTCGCAACGCAAACGAGGAGCAGATACCAAGAAGTACTTAATATGTCATCGACCATGTTCCCGCCAATGTCCCAGCTGAAGGACGCGTTGGAGACGGGTGTGGGTGTGGAGCTCGGCCAGTCATCGTCAGCCGAGCTGTCGGCCATGTCCATGCAGGGATTGAATTGTAAGTGACGTGATGAACCCGTCCACAGCGGACTCCCCTTCGCTCTCCTCCGACTGACCACAGCGTTATTATCACGGCCAGTTGGACATGCACTCGAAGAAACTCTAGTTAGAGTATAGGCTAGATTTTCAAAAAATCATCAGGGGTGCTTACATTTTATTCACTCCCTATATTACTAACAAATTTCTTTAGCATTTCTTTGCATGTTTTCAATGCTGGGTAAAAGAATCCACAGATTTTGTGTCCCAGTGTAGCTGGGCAAGTTGATTCTATGTAGTCGCTCCTTTGTTCTTCCAGTCAGTTTACTTGTTGTCGACTTGCGATTCTCTCCTATCCCCTACCCACCCATCCATTGAAGTCCATAGTCTCTGTCCGTGTCCGTGTCCGTGTCCGTATCCGTGTCGATGTCCGTATCCCTGTCCGTATCCTTGTCCGTGTCCATGTTCCTGCCCCTGTCCGTGTGTGTTTTACTTTTATTAGTTTGTTTTTCCGTCTTTGTGAGCTAGCAACCTGCAGGGCGGGAGCAGAAACCGAGAGCAACTTGCTCCGTAAAAGCCAAAGACCGAGTCGACTCTCTATGAAACTGCAAGAAATAAGTATAATTCAACCTGTCGAGTGCGTGCGAGTGCTAGTGCGAGTGCGGTGGCTGCTGGTTGTCATTAAAGCCTGACGTTTTGTGTGGAGCCAAAGTTTACGGGGGAACTTTTTCCAATTCTCCGAAAAAACTTCACTGAAAGGCGTTTTTATTCCACATTATTAAAAGTGGGCGGCAGCCCGTCGGTAGATGGGGAAAATAGACAGGGGGAATGAAAACATTTCCAATGGAGATGGAAACGAGAGTGCTTTCGCTCGGGATAATATCCAAGGTAAACAGTTTACTTTTGGCAGGGAAAAGATTGTGGCATGACTACCTTTATGGATTAAAATTTCATTTTATTTAACAAATACATTTGATAATGGAAATGTATTGTATTTTTAGCGACCGCGTTGCTAATATAAGGAAAACATTCACTTTAGCGGGGATAATAAGGAATATTTCAATTATTGCCCATCGGATTTCATAGACAATCCATCAAACGTGAAGTGATGATTGGAACAAGTGTCCTCCATTAGCTCCTAAAAGAACATTAGATCCCTTACTCCCAGAAGTGCGAAACTGGAAACATCTCCTATTTATGAGTTATACGTACGTCAGAAGTTGGCTAAACTCTCCCCAGCCCTCTTTCACCCAAACAAAAGTCAGGAGAGTCCGAAACTTTGGGAATGTCCTGGCCTGAAATCACAATGTGGGAATTCACGAACAGCAGCAGCAGCAGCAGCAGACAAAAGTGCATAACTAACTAAACATGATGGCATTACACTCGGGCCCCACTCTTGACACTTGGCACAATTGGAAATTGGTCATGCATGGCCGGCGCAGGACATCTCCGTCCAGGACACACCAGGATATAACTGGAAGTCAGAAGCAGAATCCTTTCTGCTCTTTTCTCGAGGGTGCGGAGCAGAGCCGGAAAAGTGCAGAAGCAATTTTACTGTCTGTCTGATTACGGGAAAAACTCAGTCGAACACAGCGGGGAAATGAGAAATGATAAGACTCACAATTATAACTCTTGTCTCGCAGTAATTTAGGGCCTTTCTAATTTCCTGAACCGAGAGCTGGCTCAAAAATCAATAAATCTCTAAGCAGTCTTATACAATTATTATGCAATTGCTCCACAGTGACAGACAGCAGTCAGAAGAAGTTGCCTTGGAGCAGTTGGGTGCACTCGGACAACGACGATGCCACCTACTTCATGCTGCAGATGCATCCGGATCTCGCCGATCCCACCGAGCAACTGGGCATGGAGATCGAACAGGACGCCAACGAGACCGTCACCGACATCCTGCAGAGATTCGGTCGGGACTTCTTGGTCAGGGGCAACATCAACCTCACGGATATGGACGACCTGGATTTGCGATGTGGCGGCCTGGTTCGGCGCACGAATATGACCAATATCGCATCCGGAGCTGTAGAGTGCATGATGCAGCGCTGCACGTTCACCATGAATGCGCCGGAAATCTGTCCGCCGGACTACAAGGAGACGGACGAGATCATTTTCTGGGTGTACTTCTTGCTCAGGTGAGTTTTGTAATCGCTGCGTTGACTTCATGCCCACTGTCTCCTTGCCCGTCTGATTGTTTTCCAGATTTTTGGCCACCACCATGCTGTCCGCCGGAGTAACCATCATGGATCCGATTGCCCTGACCATGATTGAGAAGTACGGCGGAGACTTCGGACGCGAGCGTTTGTTCTCCAGCATCGGCATGGCCATATTCTCGCCGATAACGGGCATCATGATTGACTACTCCTCGAGGGGTTTGGGGTACACGGACTACTCGGCTGCCTTCTATACGTACGACGTACTGCTGGTGATATCCACGATGTCGGTGCTTATGATGCCGCTCGGCGAGAAACTGCCGGCGGACAATGTGTTCCGGGATCTGTGGAATCTCCTCAAGATGCCCCACGTGATTGCCTTCATCTGCTTCCTGTTCGTGCTCGGTAACTTCTGGGGCTTCATCGAGAGCTTCCTGTTCCTGTACCTCAAGGAACTGGGGGCTCCAAACTACCTGCTGGGTGAGTTTATCCGCCCTGGCCAATTTGAGTTATTATTCCGCACACTAAAGCTGCATTTTACCGCCCGTATGACCTGGCCTGACCTTCCTTTACGACTGATTTCATTGTCCAGGCATCACCATCACCGTGGGCACCGTGAGCAGTATTCCCTTCCTGTATGGAGCGGAGAAAATCACACGGATCTTTGGGCACGTCAATTTGATTATCATCGCGTTCTTCTCGCACGCGGGTCGTCTGGTGGGCTACTCCTTCATCGAGTGAGTGCGAATCGCATTCGGCCTAATGCAATTCCAAATTGAATTCACCTCTTTCCCCTTTCGCCAAAGGAATGCCTGGTGGTGCTTCCCGTTCGAGGCCATGGAGTCGTTATCCTGTCATCTCATGTGGGTGGCTGCGGCTACCTACTGCTCGATTCTGGCCCCGAAAAGTTTGCTGGCCACCCTGATTGGTGTCCTGGGCATGGCTCACTTTAGTTTGGGTAAGTAGCCTATGGAACATGCCTATGGAACTACAAGAATTAATAATATCCGCATAAATATGATGGATCTATCCACAAATATCTTTAGTTTCATAAAACTAAAGATATTTGCAATATTATTTTGCAAACTTTGAGCATTTTTCTCCGTGTGCCCTAATGAGCCTCTTTACGTGTATGTAATGACATTTGGTGTGTGCAATTTCAGGGCGCGGCAGTGGCAGTTTCACTGGAGGACTCCTCATTGGTCAGTTCGGCACGCGGGATGCCTTTCGGTACATGGGCCTGCTGGCGGTGGTTGGAGGAATCGCCTACGGGCTGCTCCATCTGATTTGGCTGCGGAAATTCGATCACACCACGGAGGAGTCCGAGGAGGAGGTCGAGGCAGTGGAGGCGGGAGAAACGGAGAAGCTCACCGAACCGGCCACCAAGGAGCAGGGCACTTCGATGTCCTTGGAGCGACTGAGTCTGATGATTAAGTACAATCAGATTGGCAGTTTGTCGTCGCTGCCGCGGGGATCGCGGGTGAGTGTTTTTCTAGGGCTAATCAAACATCCTTTGTTGGTCAGCGCACGTATACAATACCTCTGTCAACTTAATTATCGAATGTATAATTGAATTCACATGATTGAAAGTATAAACGATAAGCTGAGTCAGTTCCTTTTGCTAATGATTCCTTTGCCCGTCACAACATTTTCCTTCGATTATTCGCGTAATGATTGGGCGAAAAGCGCTTTTTAAATTGATTTTCCCCCCTGCAGGCCGATATCCATGACCATCTGTCCGTGCGACGCAGCAGCTACAATGTGGAGTCCTTGAGGGGCGTTCCCCGGCACGGGAACATCGGCAGTGCCTCCAAAGTGGATATCCTGCGCTCCGCGCTGGAGATTAATCACAAGTCCTCGAACCATTCAATGCTGAGCAAGGCCGATAACAAGACGTCGAATCAATCATTGGGTCGCAATCGGGCCGACAGTGCCCCGAAATTGAATCACAGCAATCTGAAGAATATTTCACAGCCCGCCTTGGAGGGCGTGGTCCTGGAGGTGAGTACATACCTCCTTGGGGTCCTTTTTCGTCCTGTGTGTGTGTGTCGGTGTGCGTGTGCTCTGCGTTGGAGTTTCTCGCTGATTGCAGTCAATTGTTTCGATTCCTGTTCTTCACGCTCCTATGTTTGGTTTTTAAATACCCAACATCTGTTGCCACAATAACTTTTAGCATGCTGCCGCGTGTCCTTTGTGCCCGGCCGTATCCTGCCTCTGGTTTTTGCCTTGACTACCGGAAGCGGGGCCAACTGCATCCGCCTCGGCTTCGATTCGTACGAAATGCACTCAGAAAAAGCGGCTTTAGAAGTGAGAAAGTCTGCTGAGTGAGAAACCTGTTGGAAAATATACATTTCCCTGTGGAATAGCGTGCAATGAATAGCTTCTGTCTATTTTTGCAGGATGAAGACTGTTTGAAACTTACACTTAAGTTACCAAAGGAATGCCCAGAAATGTTGGCATATTTTTCTGCAAGTGAACTCCATTTAGGAGGCAAGTGGGGCATTGGAGAGGCGGTTGTTTTGTGTGTTTGGCATTTGGTTGCCTTTGTCGAGCGGTCGTTTCTTTTGATGCCGCTCCAGTGGATTCGATTTCGCTCTGGAGCTTCGGCTTCTCTGGAGCTCCTCTATTCCGGTTGCCGTGCAGCTCGAATTCGAGCCGGGCTTATTGGTTTTGTTTTCCGGACAAGCATATTCGCCGCTGGCCACAAACTCTGCAAATTTAAATTCCGTGCAGAGAGGAGCATTCAAAACCCCAGAACAACAAGAGGTTTTCAGGTGAAAATCGATTGGGATTGCTGCGTTTGAGGGGGGCTTATGAAACAGTAGTCTTTTCAATTTCAAAAGCAAAAACTTAGTGCCATTTAAAAAGGCTTTGCATCATCTCTGGACTGAACACAAACTAACCAGATTTGCCGCCCAGTTATCGCCCCTTTCGATTTGTAGCAAAGTTTATTTAGTTTACATACTCAAGTGCGCTGTTGCAAGAGATATTGCCATTATGGCTTAAACAGTGTAATTTGTTTCCGAGCCATCTGGCCAATGACACTTACTTTCAGATACCTACTGGCCAAATCTTTGGACATTTTTAATAATTTATGGCGAGCACCAACTGGCAGCCCCAAGCTGCAATTGCAATCGAGCAAACAGTTTCATCCGAGCCATCCTTTAATTAAAAACTTTCCCATGATATATGTCCGGCAATTGATTATCCCCTCCCCCTTCCCTTTACAATCTCAGCCTCAGCCCAATCCAGCTGCACTCAAAGCCGCTTGTCAAAGTTAATTTCGTAATTAATTTTCAATGCTTTGAGGCGAGGCTTTTATGGCAACTAGGCAACCATAATTCAATAAATCAAACGCTGCAGCTGCAACGAAACGAGAGGGAGAAAAACACAACAAATTAATGAATTTATGAACAAGACAAAGTTTTTCCTGGCATTTGCTCTTTCGCTTCTGCCGTTTGCCCAGCATTCCGATGCCAAACAGACCAAACTGACAGTTTTGCCTCCACACATCACTGGCCAACAAAATAGAATGAATCCCAGCCCAGCACCCGGAAGACCAGGAGCTCACTCAGTGCAGTGTTTTAAAAAGCAGGGGGATGTGGCCTCAGCGGGGGGCAGATACGTGCTACACTTAGCCAAACCAACAGTAACAAGTAGCAAGAATATACTCAAGAATGTACTTAAACTATTGGCACATATCCTTATGATAAGCTATTCTGTATTTAGTATAATATTTGGCTGATGTGAGTGCAGCTCCGCACTTGAGCTCCCCTTTTCTCTCTGTGCACGAGAAGGCGCTTGCAAATTGCAGGCCAGTTCGGCTGCAGAATCCCGAACCAGAACCGAAACTTCGCTTTGTGCAAAATAAATTTGCCAAAACCAGGAAAGCTGAGAGCTTTCTATTCGATTTTCGTATGTGTGAGAAAGCGGCTGTGCGGCTGTGTGTGTGTGTGTGTGTATCTGTGTGGATGCATCTCTCTTTACTATATGTGTGGATAATATATGCTATAGCCAAAATGCCATTCGCATACAAACAGGGCGTGGAATCAACATTTTTTCCCAGCCGCATGAAAAAGTATCCAAGTGGTTTGTTAACTTCAATACCCGCTGTGGATTTATCCGTAATACCCAGCTCCATGTTAATGGTAATGTACAAGAATCCAACAAAAAAACAAAAACGCACAGTAGAAACCAGACATAGTCTGAAATAAAATGAACCGAATGCATGCAAGATCGAATGCTCACTTACCCTTTGCTGAGTGGAAAATTTATCGTACTTTAATTATTTTGCGAAAGAGTTCAGTAAATCTATGCAAAATCAGATAAGAACCTAATCCCGATCCCCTTTTGACCAAATCGACTGGCCATGAATTTTGGCCAATCGATGCGACCCCTCGGCGCAGGGTAATTCGGCACACAAACATATGTAACTGCATCTGCACGGCATGTCCTGGCTCCTGGGTCCTTCGTCCTTGGTCCTTGGTCCTTTTGGCATCGCTTGTTCTGGGATGCAGGCGCCCGAAAGCATGCAGCACTGAATGCGAATAAACAGAGGCCATGGCAGTGGCAAAAGCAGCATCACTCGCCAAGATATTGCGCCACTGCACTGCGAGAATTCGGGCACCACTATCAGCTTTTCGTGTAATTACTCGGCTTAAGGTCAGCTAGATGGGCATGCATTTTCCCTTAGAAAGGGATCACGAAACCAAGCAAGCTTTCAAGTTCGAAGTCTCACTCATAGGCACCACAACTTTCTCTCAGTGCAGACGTGCTGGAAAATGCAATGGCATGTACAGCTCTCAGTGCAGCTTTGTTGGTTGCTTTTCCGATGGCTGGGTGGTTGGGTAGTGAAAAATGGCTGGCTGGAGGAACAGGAGGACGCGGTGGCTCCGGCGTCGCAGTTTGCCAAGCCATCCGGGCATTAAGTTATTTCGTTGAATTAAAGCCCGCACTTGCGCCATTTGACTTTTGGGCATCACTTGTTTTTATGTGCATAACCCACAATCCCCGCTTAACCCCCTGATGCCCCCTGCACGCTGAACGCTTAGTTGAGTTTAGTTTAATTTTGCACACTCGTCGAGCAATTTGAGCTCGGTTCCTCACATCGCCTCACATCCCATTTGGCATTTGTTTTTTGCTCCTTTAGTGTTTAAAATTTCAGATACGGAATAGCTCGGAAAATGCTCCTTTTTCTATGCTCTCATGCGCTCTGATTTTGTTTACGTTTTGCGCCAAATGATTTGTTGTTCAACCTAATACAACTTGACAAAAAGAAATAACAATGGCAGCTGCTGTAAAAAAGCAACAATGTTTGTTTATCCCAATTTAACGGGGGGTTGGGGGTAGTACAAAATGGGGTGGCAGGTGTAGTTGGGGCAAAGAACAACAATGCCATAGAATAAACAAACAAGCCAAAAGGCAACGTCTGTTCGAATGTGGCAAATGATTTCAAACTTTTCAATCGACCGTGGTAAGCCACCATTGGAAAATCAAACATAATTAAAAATATAATAAATATGCATAAATAAACAATGGAAAACGAAGAGAAATATATGAATAATATAAATACATATGATGTTGACACCCTTCAACTGAAGTGATGTGTATTTTGTAACAAATAACAGCTTGAATAACTGGCATAAAAATGTGGTTAAATCCAAATTGTTGCAAAACATTAAAGTATCTTTTTAACATATTACTAGCATTGCTTAATTGCAAGCATCCGAGCTTCAGAATGCTTTCACCACGGTTTCAAGAACGAAAAGCACGAATGAATGGAATCCCAATCGAATGCTCAATATTTTAGCATTGCCCACGGTTGCTGTGTGTGTGTTTTGCACACATGTGTGCACGTGTATGTACATGTGTGTGTTCCACTTCCTTCTACGATTTCCGGTTTGCGCTCTCTCTTCTTCAACTAGAGCTAGGAAAAATGGCAGTTTCGCCAAACCCACACACACACATGCAGAGAGTTTTCTTTTGCTTTCCTTATGGAGCTGGCATTATTTTTATTTCGTTTTCCATGAGAGCGATTTATTGATGTGCGAGAGGAGGAGTGAAACTGCACCAAATACAGAAATATTTATGGGAATGATCGCTGAATGAATGCCACGTAATTCGATGCTCTTGGCCACATTTGTCATTGTTGATTTTGGCCAGAAACGGAGGGACTATGACTATATGTACGTAATCGTGGCCCTTCGTCGAGGCCAATAACTTCTTCAGCACAACGCACAAAAAGTGAACGCGAAATTGCGCGTAAGTAATGCCCATTGTAAGCGTCTTCAAAGGACACGAGTGTGGCGAGTGTGGGCCGCAAGGAGGGGTTAAAATGGTACGTATGTATACATATAGTATACATACATATATGTGGAAGGACCGACTCGAAGGCAAACAAAGGAGTGGAAACAAAGGCAGCGCAAAATGAACTGAACAGGAACATTATAGAAATTCTCGGCCCTCATGCTGTCGGTGCATACAGAAAAATACCCAACTTAATCTAAATATTTTCAAATCTTTGAGCCCCAAAATCGTATTTGCATAATATGAAGTATGGAGAGGATATTTCAACGGAAAGTGGATAAACTACGAACAATTATGTTGCCTGCCAAACAGTTTGCTCTTAAAAAAACCGAACTGAAATTAGTAGAATTACATAGCTTTTTCACGAACTTTTTCCTGTGTACCTCGTGCTCTGCCTCCATTTTCCTTTGAGTTTTCCTCTCGCTTTTCAGCACACATGCCACTTAAGATGCGCATTTCTATACAGAGGTGCACTTGTTTGTGTGCGTCAGTTTGCTGGAAAAGTTTTGTGCATTCAACTGCAAGGCCGGTGCATTTTCCACCCACCTCACTCAGCCACCCCAAAACACTTTTTTAATAAAAAGCCAAACAACGAGCCAACTACGTTCGATGCATGGCGAATTATCCAAAAAGTTTGATGACGCGGAAATGCCTTTCGACAATAAACCAAAAAGTGCAAAAAGGAAAACCACCAGCCATCTCCGATGCAACTGCTGCAGTTTATTCGTTTATTCGTGCATATGCGATGCGAACTCAGCCGGAATGCTTATGGATCGAGAATTGAGTGGGGGAAAATGGAAACATCATTTGAAATTCGAATGGGGAGCCAGGGACCCCAAAAAGATGGAGAAGATGGGGCTAAGGAGTTATAGGGCAATAGTTTAAAGCACTGAAAGTACCAATGGTCAAGATAAATTGGGTTAAGTTCCATAAGCGTACGTAAAACTAGTTTTTCGTGGGTCTTCGAGTAGCAACCTCTATTTCCAATCCAGTCGGCAAACACGTTCATTTTGCGGGAAATCCATACGAGCTGAATATTCCGGGCATCATCGAACTATAACTCCATTAAATGTGATTTATCGGCCACTTAAATTTCATGTTCAAACCCAAATTAGCATGCATGTTGATTATACTTGCCCGCATGTGCATGAAAACGCGTTGAGGGCGCAAAGGGAAAACTAAAAGCAAGTTGGGTGAGTAAATGGCAAATAGCACTCTACACTGCACAACACAAAATGCGGCCACAATTCAGGATGGTATTCATCCGCTGCCACTTGATTTTCCTTTTTTTTTCGGCGTTTATGCTTTCATTTTGTTTGAATTGGTTGGTTAATTTTGATGCTCGTTATGGAATTGGTTTTTGCATGCATTTTACCTTTTTAATTGCTAATTGCATGTGTGCGAGTAACGAGTGGATGGCAGTGTGTGGTTGTGTACTCACTTTAATTGCAGCAAATACAGTGTGGCCCTAAAAAACCCCGATTCGCGCGAATAAAAAACACCTATCTGGGTTACTAAAAATATGCTGTGTTTGGCATGAGTTCCGCAAAATACTTACCATATTTACGCAATATTTAGCATGACGATACGCCAAACACCATTCCTTCAAAGTTATTAATCCGCTTCTTACCTTCGCATTCCATAGGACCAAGAGGGTCGCAAGGTCATTCCGGAGGAGACGGAGTTGCATGCCTCGAAAACCGCCGTGGATTTGGGGGAGGAGAAGGCGGAATCGGCCCCGCAGCAGCAAGCGCAGGAAAATGGAAATAGGAAAAGTGCGCCGTTGCAGCAGGATGATGAAAAACCCGATGCCACTTGACGGACTGGCAAGGCAACTCTCTGACCTGCCACACGTGGCGTATGAGTGATATTAACAAACCGAATGCGACATAAATGAAGAGAAATGTGAAATTGATAGGCGAGAACTATTTGTTAGTTGTACATGTGTGGTTTATGTTATGTAAATGTGTATGTCTATGTATAAATTATGCAAGAAGAGAGAAACTGAATAAACTAAAAACTGTTGAAAACACAATCGAATAGCATTGCACATAATTGTTTTCCCACTCAAATTGAATTCAAGCCTTTTCATGCATCGTTTGATTTTCCACTTTATTTCGCTGATTGGCTTAAAAATTAAATTGTAATTGCCCAAAACGCGGAGTGCTTTGCCATAGGTTAAGTTGCTATTATTTGTATTTTTTTGTTTATTTTTATTTCATTTCATTACATTACTTTCATTGGCTTTGCTCTCTTTGTGTCTGTGATTTTCCCCTTAGGCTAAGGCGTGTCATTAATGTTATGTTATTTGTTTTCCATTTGTGTGTATTCGTTTGTGTTCGGCTTGCCTCCGTTTATCGTTATTAATTACTTAATATAGCCTTTTAATTACAATCTCATTTTTCACTGCATATCAAATTGCACGAAAATCTATAATTGATGCAAAAATGAGTGCATCAAGTCTCAATATAGTTCACTTATTTGCCTTACGCTTTTGTTTTTTTGTGTTATTTTTTTTTTTTGCCACTTTATTTGATTTAAAACGCAGTGAGCTCCACTTTGTGCCGACCTCTTTTGCAATTCGATCAGTATTTATGTTTACATATCAACAGCAATATGCTAAATGTAGCCAGCACCTGGACACACACACCACACATTCAGTTATGGAAATAATTTCAAAATAAATATTATTTATGCACAAAAAACATATTAACTTTTGTGGCAACGATTTTAATTTATGCTAATTACTTTTCACTAACAACTTTCGACTGCGGTCGAACATTCGGAGCCAGCAGCAGCAATAATCTATGATATCTGCCTTGACCGAATTCAATTTAAGCCACCCTCCCATTTGCGCAATTTATTGCTGGGGCGAAATTAATTAAAACTAAACTAAACAGAATTTGCTGAAATTAGTTGATATAATTCAAGTGCTTGCGACACATTCGCGGGAAATTGATTTCATCGCCACCAAAACGCAACACAATCGAATCGGCTTTCGCTTTATTATATTTAACTAATTGCAAACATTTGCAAATGAAAATGCGGTGAAAACCATGCTTTATTAAAACCTATCAAATTCTATGTCTGTTTCTCATTAGAGTGTCATATTTTCGGACCAGCAAGCATAATTAGTTTGGCTCTCTTTTATGTTTTGCTAAAGGCTTTGGGTTTCCCAAGCACATCTCACACTAATTACATTGAAGGAGATATCTTTTTGAACTCGGCCAGCAAAGTCATTTAATCTCTTTGAAATGTCCATATGCAAATGCGCACCTATAAACTTTAATTTGGGACTGGGCATAGCAAATTTGCATACCAAATTTATGAAGATTTTGTGGCCACAATTAGCCGAGATGGTCTGCCGTGTCTGCTCCTTGAGACCAGCCCTAATACGATTCCACATGAGAAAACAACATAAATTGATGTTTCCTCGGACAAATAGGATTGGGCAGTCTGGGCAACTGAAGAAGGCTTAATGCAAGCTTATTAAACATTTACGTAATGCCAGATGATCTCCCTTCCAACGTGGTATTTTATAATCAAACATTATCCTTTCTGTGTCAGTGTGCCTTGTGTGTGCGTGTGTGCGTGTGTGTGTGTGCTTAGCCAAAATAAACGTTGATAAACAAGTTAGCTAAGCCTACGTTATGCAATGTATGCCAGAGATTCATGTATTACTCATATGTTACATACATATTTGTGTTTGCATTAGCCGGAATCGTAATCATTAAATTAGTTCACACACCTCTTTAGTTTATTATTATCGAATACTGTTCAATATTTGGAATATTCAACGAGTAGCATCAAAGATAATTACACAATCACCCGAACCCGAACCCAACCCGCTCACTCCTCTTTGCGTGGAGTGAATTTGACCAGCCATCCGCCGCTCATATCCAAGTCTCACTGTATCAACGGCGAGTGCTGTGAGTTCTCGCTAAAGTCCACCGTGTAGTACATGTCGTTCTCCAGATTCATGGCCAGGTGCCGCTGAAAAGGTCGCTCCTGCAGCTGGCCACCCAGCGTGGTCTGCGTCTGCATCTGTCCAGCCAGATGCCGGGTTCCCTGCTGCTGCCCAGCTGCTCCTCCTGCTGCGCCTGCTGCTCCGCCGGCCCTCGGTCCACCCGGGGGCGCCACATTATTGGTGCTGCTGGTCGCGGTGGCCCCCTTGCCACTCAGCCAGTGTTTGTTCAGCTTGCCCTGCATTTTCGGGCGGCGACTGAAGCCCAGAATGGGTATAAACGAGGTGGAACGTGTTGAGAATTTCCGATACGTCTGATTGACCTTGCAGTGACAAATGGTGACCTGCAACGGCGAGAAATGTGCACGGGGGTTAGGTAAATGGTTATGGATTGCCGCCTAATGGCATTGCAAGTGGAGCAGCGAGTGGTAGTTGCCAAAAAAGCTATTTACCAAAAGGCAGCAGCTTTATAAACTGAAATCAACTTAGGTAGCTCCCCATTGCAAACAGTTCTGATTGCATATACATTTTGTATGTGAAACTATGATACCTCTTTGCCTCTACCCCACAGAAAAAAGCCAAAGTTTGCCCGTTAAATAGTCCAACTTAAACTTTCGACATTAACCTGTCCTCTGCAGGACTTTCCAAGTTTGCATTAATTCGGCAAGGGAGCCATGCTAAATCGCTCACAGCTACCAATAAATTGGCATGGACTCGACTCTCCACTTGAAGGCGCACACATTGTGAACGGACACCAATTGTATAAATTTGCATCTACTTTAAGCCCCGGCGTCCAGGCGATTGGGCAACTTTTGGTTAAAGCCTCGTCTGCAGCTCGAACCATTTTGCCGACATCGAAATGAATATGCAATGCCATTTCGCGCACTTTGCATAACCGCAGAGTACAATTTCCCCCGTTCGGTCATGGGAGCTTGTTCGAGTTGTTCCCCGGATTCCAGGGGAGGATGAGGAGGATATGCGGGCATGCGGGTATGCTGGTATATGAGGAGGAACTTACCACAACGGCAACGATGAAAATGGCGGCTGCCAGGACTCCGGCCGCAAAATATGCATTATGCAATTCAATGGGACTCTTAAGCACAACCGATGAACCGAAAGTTTTGTCATTAAAATTTCTGGCGTTCGCATCGTCCACAATAAATTCGCTGGAACTAACGACCGTCTCCACCACGAACTCATCTGCGAAAAGGCCGGAAAGAAATCGCCGGAAAAAAGTTAGATAGCCGCCGGGTAAGGCATATATATATATTCTGATGGCCCTAATCAAGTTAATGACTTTTGGGCAACTCACCTTCGCACATGGTTCCTGTGTAGCCGGGACGACAGGCGCAGTAGAAGCTATCGCCGCTGGACCAACAAGTGCCGCCATGGGTGCACGGATTCACGTTGCATTGCTGGAAGTACTGAGAGTTATCAATGCGTTGGAGGTGGATTGCATCGGGAACTGCCCCGGGAGCTAATTCTGGCTAACCTAATTTGGATATGGACACAACCTGTTCATTATTAAATATAGATAATATAACAATATTGCATTTCAGGGTTTTCATTTAAACAATGGCTCACTACATCATTTCGCCAGCACACTTTCGGGCTCCCAAAAGTGAGAACAACAATTTTCGTATTATATCCCATATCCTTGCCTCACGGCGCTCGTATCCTCTAGTCACGCCCACTAGCAATTAGAATGGAGGCGCCACCGCCATTCTTCCACTTTCTGTGTGTACCTGGCATGTAGAATGTAATTAATTTAGCTGCCTTCCCCAACAGGAGCCACGAGCCACCATCAGCCGCAACTTGGAACCGCGGTCTGCCCTGCTCCTGCCACGCCCCTTTCCCCGCCCTCCCCCAGCATAATGACAGTGTGCTGCGGATGCTTGGGTCCTTGGAGCAGTCGCGGTTAGTCAGCGTGTCCATCATTTTCACAAAGCTTTAATTATGGCGCCTTGCCGCTTAATTTATGTACATTTTGTTAAGTTTTATTTTAGCACCACAAATTATCAAGTCCATTGAGCGTTTATTAAATTCCTCCTAGTTGGTTCACCCCTCGTTGGGGGCTAACTCGATTTATGAACCAAGTTGGCTTCAATGGAAATCGATTTGCAAGTCCAAGCAGGCGGTAAACTTCTACACGGAATATCAATTTCTATGGGCGGCCAGCGCAAACCGAAGTCGTAAATCAGTTTAAAAATGCACAGCAGCCGCACAAACAATTCTGCATGCAATTGGGCCAGCAAAATTGGCTACAATTATGCCACTGCCAACAATTTGTTTGGCTGGAATGCTGGCAGCACTTGCAGGACTTTCAGGACTTGCAGGACTTGGAGGACTGGCAAAAGGAAGCTCCCGAAAATGCGGAGCCCAAGCGAAACTGCATAAATCATGACTTACCGTTCGTGGCATTTGATTACAATCCGGTCCGTTGCGACCTCCTGGGCATTCGCAGCTGAAATCATTTCCATGATCAATACAGCGATGTCCTTCGGGGCAGGGCTTGTTGGCGCAGAAATCAACCTAGAAAACACAGCAGAGAGCGGGCACAAATCAGAGCATATTGTGGCGGCAGAGTTGCGAGGCTTCATTACGTATTCAAAAATGTATTTGCCCAGCATTCGTATCTGAAGGATACACTCCCACCCACACACATACGGCCATCCAATGCCATTTGCTATGCCTGTACGCGACTCTCGGTCGGAGCAAATTAAATCAATACCCATTCAGGACTCGCAGACTCGCAGACAACCGCCAGCTGGCTGGAGTCCTTCCACTTTCTCATCGGGGAATTGTCGCGGGATTTGTTTTCAATACAAAATATTGATTATCCTGGGGAGCCAGCACCAACTGATGGGCACTCCTGGGGCTCAATTTTCATCGCAGACTCACAAGTCATGTTTTCGCGCATCTCGGATTGCTTCGTAAATGGTACAAGTGCTGCTCAACTGAAGCTTAAGATAAATTACAAACAATATATCTGCTGCACTGTGAAGGCGAAGTGCTTCCAGTTATTAGAATTCTAGCAATTTAGTTGGACTTATCGCAGCACTCAGATGTTGAGTGCGTGTGTGTTTTGCAAACTCCTCTCCGCCCAGCTGAAACTCATTTGACATTGCTCACTCACCTTAATTTGGCAGCGGTTGCCACTGAATCCCTTCGTGCAGCGGCACTCGTAGCTGCCAATGTGATCGATGCACTCGCCGCCATTCTGACACGGATTCGATTCGCATTCATTATACTCGAAGTTGCACAGCTCGCCGGCGAATCCTGCGAGACAGGATTCGAAGAAATGAAATAAAAGGTGAGTTCGAGATGGGGGAAGGGTTCAGTTGAAAAGCTTGCGGGTAATGTAAATGTGCAAAGTAAATGAAATGGAAATTTCAATGGGAAATGGAAAATGGGAAATGCTCGTGCTTGGGCGACAGACTACTGTCTCGACTTTCCGGAATTGCCCTCGTCTGTGTCTCAGTCTCAGTCTCAGTGATTTTTTATACATTTACTTTCATTGTGATTGAGTGCGATTTATGCAAATTGTGTTTGTGCCAATGAAATAATTTATGAGCTCCGATGTAGATTTTTTGATTTGCGCTGATTTCAATTCAATTGCAAAAGCGAAATTTGATTGCCTTAAAGTACGTGGATTTTCCGTGCAGAAATGCCCGTACAATATTCGACTCGCACATACAGAACAGTAAGTATATATAAGCTAGTTTCTTCTTTCGGCAAAACAAATATAATTCATGACAAAGCTAGTCCAAAAATCCAATATATAATAGATCCAGCTAAAGCCAGCAATCGCTGTGTGCAATTTCGACGATGATAACTCGCAAAATATTGGCATTATGGGAGCGATTTCGCCAACGAATCAACAAAAGAATAAAGGCAATTTGCGCTTATTTGGCTGGAACTGTTGGCCCCGTTTACTCACCTGGCTGGCAGAAGCAGCGGAACCCGTCCTCCTGGTCGACGCAGATGCCATGAACACACGGCGAGGACTCGCACTCATTCAGGCTGTGCTGGCAAAGAGGTCCTGTGAAGCCGGGAGCACAGTCGCAGCTGCGGGGCGGTACAGAGGGGGTTAGTACAGTGGGGAGTCGCAGAAGTATAACAAAAACTTGGCTAGAGCTGGTGGAACGACTGGGGGATTTTGAACATGCGACAAAAGTCAACATTTATGAGCAAACACAGACGGCGGCGGCTAGACAGAACCGCAAAACAATGGCCAGGATAATTGAATGAAGGCTGCTCCTGCTGCTGCTGCTGCTGCTGCTGCTGAATGTGTACCCTGCACTCGGAGCAAAAGTGATGGCTCTATTCGAAAATGTTAGGTTTTAATTGCTGCCATGTACTATTCTTTACTGACTTGACAACAACTTATGCTGTGCAAATTAATGTTTGTTGCGTAAAAATCTTTAATTTTAGGTTCTTGGGCATTTCCGTGTGTACGGCTGCCGTTTGTTTTTCAGAGTGCAGCTTAGCCACTCATCTTCCAGCCATTTCTGCCTTCTTTGCCGCCTATTGTTTGCCCCAGACTCACCGAAAGTGCGTCGAGTTGCCCACACAGCTGCCGCCATTCATGCACTCGGCGGGATTGCAGGGATCCGACTCGTATTGACAGTTCTTGCCCGCGTATCCTGCGGAGACAAAGTGGAGTGGATGGATATTAATAGCATTATCGCAGCGCACCCACAGCCACTAATGAGGCACCAAGCTAATGACCTACCGTACGGGCACAGGCACTGGTACGAGTTGCCCTCGTGACCCTGCGAGAGGTCCACGCAGATGCCGTTGTTGGTGCAGGGACTCGGATTGCAGGCGTCTATCTCCTCGCAGTGCGGTCCGGCGAATCCGCTGCAGCACTGGCACTCGTACTCCTCCATTCCGGCGTTCGAGTAGCACACTCCCTTGCCGGAACAATCGGCGTTCTCGCCGCAATTGTCGGTTTTGGTGGTCACCTTCAGGCGCACACACTGCGCGCCCCACAACTCGGACACCACTGTGGGCAGGAGCAGAAAAGGGTTTCATATTAATTAAGGCAACACGAAGGCTCCGGCGGGGGACAAAAAAAAAAGCATTTAATAGGCCGAACGGGAACCACAAACAGGGAAAAAACGGCTCCCCAAAGGCAGCTTCCGCTGGCACGAGTTGGAAATGACACCGCCTAGATGAAGATGGAATACCCTAGCTGGCCAACTGGGAAGCCCATTCCGAGGTGCTGATGGCGCTTTGGGGAACATTTTACTTAAATATTCAACAGGACAGGTTCAGAAAATGTTAAGGCACAGGAAACATAAACTCTGCAACGTACTTCATCGCATATTACATGGATGTGCTCTCTGGTGTTAACTTTTATTTGCAAATTAAGACTCCGCACGTTGGCAGTGGAATGAGCCCGTTTGAAGCCACAAATTCGGCGCAACCCGCTGAAGTGAGTACTCACCAATTAGCAGGTTAACTCCCTCGGTGAGGTCCTTATCGTACAGGGTAACCAGCTTCCTGCCGTCGACCACCAGCGGTGTGATATCCAGCAGGACGCCCTCGGTCACATCGCAGTGTTCGTGGCCGGAACGAGTCACCTGGTACACCTGTGTGGCATGGACGGCGCTGCTCGTGGATGACGTTTATTGGGACAGCGACCAGCGTTCAGAGTCCGGAGTCCAGAATCCAGGTTTCAGGATCCAGCATCCAGAATCCGGGTGGAGGTGGTGCGGAAAAATAGACACAGACATGCAATGAGTGGGGCTCAAGGTGGCAGCCAAGCTAAATGGCTTATGTTTGCTTGCTTAAGTTATAAATATGACCGAAGACATCGTAGTCCCTACTGCCTCGGTCTTGCCTGTGTATGTGCTTAATTAATTGAAATTTATTTATAAGCAGTTGCTACCGCGCTCCTCCAGCTCCTCCAGCTCCAGCGGAAATTAAATAGCACAAAGGCGGAAATGAAATTAGTCGGGCAGGGCGGCTGCCTCGGAAAGAAGGGTTTATTTTGAGGATTCCCGGGCCGCAGGGCTTCCTTCTAATTTCCCTGTTGCCAGGCGGTTATTGCGGTTACTTTTGCGGCAGTCTGCAGTTCATAAGCAGATATTAATGGAGTGCCAATTGGCGAGTCCTGGGCCTATGTGTGTAAACATGCGTCCACTTTCCCTAAGTTGTATCTAGACATACTTTAAAATATTACTTAATATTATTAAGTGCTTCCCGCCTTATGGTTTCTGCCACTTGGTTCTAGTTTTCGATATTCATTTGGTGGAAAGGGACATGTGTTCCACTCCTTGGTTTCACTATGAACTCTTGAAGCCTTTCAGTTTTCCGCCTTATAGAAGTACTGCACTTGTGTTCATTCGAAGCCATCTTGCCGACTTTGCTTTGCAGCTCTCATGTGAAGCCCTTTCTGTACTTCCACTACTTGCCTCGAAAGCATAGATACAAATAGGGGGAGACACCTCGTACAGTATCCAAGTTAGTAGTTTTTCAACAACACGTAGTCGAGGAAAAAAGGGAAAAGTTGTTGGAAAAGTGCGACCCCAGAAAGTTAGTGGCTCCACCTCCAGCGCCGCCAATCTATTTGCTACCCACTCGCTTTTCCTTGGGTTCGCAGGAGCATTATTATTTGTTGCTATTGCATTTGCTAACTTGGCAGGAGGCGCACACATACACATATTAAATCGATAATAAAAACTTTTTTGACATCTCATTTTCATAGTTGGCGGGAACTTTCCTCAGCGGGCCCAGCGCTCAATTGTGCGCTATACCTCGCATCACTTTCACTCCTCAACTAACTCGATTGTTTGCGGTCTTATTTTGCCCCCAGGAAAGTTACAAAATCGGAACTTATGCCAGGCATTCCCAGTTGCCAGAGTTGCCGCGGGCCGGATAGCAAAAAGAAATGCGGAAATATAAGGAAAAGCGGAAAATTTCCAGCGCGGTCGCGTTTGATGTCTGGCCCAAAGTTCGACAAATGAATTTTAATTTTTCTTGCGCTTCTCTCCGGGGTGAAAAACTTTCTGATGGCTGGCGGCTGCGGCATCTATCAAGTGATAAGATAAGAACCAGCCACCACCACACCGAGCCAAATTAAAAAGGGCCAAAAGTGTGGCCGTCCAGTCGGGCCAAAAATGATAGCAAAGCCGAGAGAAACGTGATAATTGCCATGGCAAAAAGGGTCAGCCAGCTGCGCTGTGTGTACAACCAGGCCCATGACTAATGGTCAACAGCTAGGACTGCACGCAGAGAAAAATCCGCGATCCAACAGGCATTGATTCGGCAAAAAATAATAGTCCATTTTAATCCCACGTCTTCTTCAAAAACTCGATCTGTAATTCCTGCCGCGCAGGACTTTTTACAATGATTTTAGTACTGACAACATTGTTTTCAGTGCTTGGGTGATATCGCATTTATATGCGCAGTTTGTTGGGGCATTTTTGTCTGGTTTTATAAAATAAACGAAGAGAAATAAAAATTTGCGAGCTGAAATAAGGGATATGGCCAGAAAGGAGAGTTAGACTGCGACTGCCAAGTAAGAGTAAACAATTTAATAAACTGTAAAGAGGCCAAGATAATGGCGAACGTGTCTGGGAGCTCTAACTATCCCCTATCTTTCGACTCGAGCAGACGTGCTGGAGAAAAATCAATAAAGGTCCCTAATGGACGTTATTATATAATAAGCCGCCGAACAAACACGTTTCAGTGCGCATTAAAGCGTTTAACTGAATATAAAACAAGAGTAAAAATAGCCCAAGCCACGCCCACCACCTGCCAACTAGGTGTAAAATAGGGGAGTGATTTCGTTTTTTGTGGCACGGACTCGGGGACTCCCCCTTTCGCTTCCTAGTAAACTCAGGTGTCTGGCGAAAGGGTCGCTCCATCATGAGCTCCATGATGAGGCAGCAGTTGCTGGTGGAAAGTGCTGCTGCCGCTGATGTTGCTGCTGTTGTTGATGATGTTGCTGATGCTGCTGATGGCACTTAATGACAGTTTTTCCGGGGACCCGAGTCACGGGCTTTGATCAACTGCATACATCACTGCCAGCAGCCAGGTTAAGTCGCCTTCAACAAGTAACGACGGCAAAAAGTGGGGATTATGTAATTGGATACCTTATCTGCCGTAAATTGATACTGTTGGTCTCCGTACAACACCAAATGACGCAGAGGAAGTCGTGATTGTCTCAGATTATTTGGGAAAACTGTATCTGCGTGCCTCAAAGGCGAAGCCATCCACTGTATTAAAATCTATGTATCTCCACCTCGAAAGAAAAAATCGATGGTTCATCATGGCAATGGGAAAAAGTATTTTTTCCGCTTTTACAACATGTCACTGCCAACAGGATTAAACTGAAAGTTTGGAGTGCACAGCTGCGATACAATTCTATTATACATTGTATCCCATTGTTTGCGGATTAAATTTAGCCAGCAGCACTGAAAACTAATTTCTCGTTCACAACAATTTAAACTAACCATTTTTTTGCTTAAATACAGTTCAAACTCAGCATTCACACTCACCTGCTGGTGTTGTTCGGCTCGTGCGAAGGATTCAACATGGCATCATTGATTTCCACGATTAAAATGTCGCCGGACTGGATCTCCGCCTCACCTCGCCAAGTCAGGACATTGGGGACGCAGTGCTCGTCCGGCTTGCAGTGCTCCGTGGTCTGGAGAAGATCAGATTGGGGTGCAAATGGGTTAGTCAGAGCCTGGAAAGCTGAATTATTTAGCAAGTTTTGCTGTCCCTTTTGGACCGAATCAGTTAAATAAGTAGTAACAGCCCCGAGTTAATAAACCTACAGCTAAAAGGTTCATTCCGGCTGGATATTAGCAAAGTTTCTGGCATATGCCCGGATCCACTCGATGTTGCCAAATTTGTATTAATTCGGGTTAAGCCAGACATACGCCGCCAGTGGGGCACGTCAAAGTCGGTATACAAATAATAGAAATCCACATCCCAAAGTCGACTTTGCGGTCATCCCTGCCCTTTTTTATGTGCTCGTCCTCTGTGTCCGGCAATTTTAGCATATTTTTGCGCAATTTGAAGCGGTTTAGTTTGCCTGTCGCTTTTTATGCCGCATTTGTACTTTTTGGGGGGGATTTGTAGAGGCTCAAAATTTATGGCATTTTAATGGCCTGTCTCTACGCACATAAAAATCCACATTGTATGTCGGCCAGGACGAAAAAAAGCTGCATATTTACATCTAAAAGGGGAATGTTGACCCACTGGGCAATGGCCAAGTTTTTTAGGTCGCATAGAATTTCATGCGTATTTTGTGGTCGGCTCTTTTTTATGAACACCGCAATAGGTAATGGCATAAATTTCCATTTTTATTTGTTGTATATGTTACAAGTTTTCGTTGTGGACCGCGCTTCTTGGAAACATACAATTTGTCGAAATTAAAACCACAAATATTTGGGAATTTATGTCCACAGTTCTTTCATGAAATATTCAAATTTACGCTTGGCCGAAACTCGACATGTACTTTACAAATTTCTAATTTAAAGTCATTTCAATTTTAAACAGAATGAAGGTATTATTCTATAAGCTGTAGCAATTAAATATTTTGAATCTTTTAAGTGCAACCAGGGCATTCTGCACACAATACTTAGCATAGGCTCAGAAAGGAACTAAAAATATGCATTTAGGCTTAAATGACTTAAGAAGTATACAGTAGGCAGACAGAATGAAAAATTCCATCAAAAGGAGGCCCGAAACAACAAACAGCAAAGTAAACAAATTCAGTTGAGAAATGTTTTCACTGACCTCCGAGAGCGCAAAACTTGATGAAAAGCGTCCACCTTTTATGCAAAATTGTTTTCTTTAATTGTTTTCTTTTTCTCGGTAGCTCGGCAGAAAAAGGACCTTGAGGCGCCAAGGAAGTCGGCATTAATTTTATGCAAGGTACACATTATGCCAATGCCTAAAGTATATGTATTTTCCATTCAGGTGGCCGGAGTTTGCATAATGCTGCAGTGCGTTTTAATTAAATTCATGGCCGAACTGCCATTGGCCATTTCCCATTTGCCATTTGCTGGCCAAAAAGTAAACAGGAAATCAATTTCGCTGCCTTCTTTGCTGCTCCATTTTGGCCGCCCACAAAAGAAACGAATCTCGCCCAAAACATCCTTCAAATGGCCATCAAACTTAATGGCATTTCGCTTGGCAACACACAGAAAGCCGTTTGAATAGACAGTCCGCTCGATGTTAATTAAACATTCGGTCCACAGTCAGCTAGTCAAAGGTTTTCGGCTCACATAACTTCTGATGCCGATGAAAAGGGTGTGTATTTTCTACGAAATGAATTTAAATATTTGCCAAGGAGCAGCAGCAGCTGTGATTTGGCCAGGCAAATGGCTTGATTTACGTCAATATAAACAGGACACGAAAGGGATATGTGCAGAAAGGAAAACTGACTCCGAACTGGAGCCCTGACCCGAATGGAATTCGCCAGATGAGCTCCGGCTGGAGTCCCTTGTCTAGCTTATTCGTGATTTAACAACAAATGCGATTTAATAAAGAAATGAATAACCCTTTTCTCAGCCGAGCGGACAGTGCGTTTCGGCCCTGAATGACCAGGCTTTAAAATACTACCCATCTTTGGCGTATATTTTATAAAAGTAATTACCTAGATTTACTAATTTGCAGTCATCAATTAATAAGCCAGATTTAAATAACCGCAAATAATGGTTAATAGGTTATAATCAGCTTGTGCTTTTTTTCTAAACTTAATTAAATAACCACTCCTGTGGCTATTAAAGGACCGCAAATTATTTATACATTTTGCATCTCCCGTTATTGCTTATTATAAAAATTAAACTTCAAAAGAAACATTAAGTTCAAACGAAAAATAGCCGATTTATTTATAGCTCAAATTTGCACCTGACTTCGGTGGGTCCTATACAAGCGAACTGGACTGTAAGCACACCCCAGGCTTCGTCCTTTTTGCATAAGGACTAGGGAGACCCCAATGTTTCCGGTCAACTTGCTTAGGGTCATCCCCTCTACGGCCATCGTCCACATGCTGCTGGGAAATGGCCAAATAAAATGACGATCAATAATTTCCTTTGTTGGCCAACTTATCGGGGGATTAAATTTGCACGGAGAATCCTTTTTGTGCCGATGCCCTTTTCTTGTCCACTCAACTGTTCCCGTCCATGTTAACTTCAAATGTGCTTGTCATTTATTTATGTGGCTCCGGTTGCCATTGATTTCCTTCGGTTGCCGAATTGTCTCAGCCCTGAAAGGTTTTCAATTAGCCGAGCAAACAGTTTTAACAAGTTTCGGCTCTTCCAAGGGAACTTGGATATCGAATGTCGGTTGTCATTGGTAAAGCTGAAGCTAAAGCTGAAGTATTTGGGTTGCCTGCGCTGAACTCGGTCCCTAATCAATCTTTTCTAACAACTTCAGCAGCTTCATTAGGATTCACGTTTCCGTTTGGCTAATCCGTAGGTTGCGGAACCCGAAAACCGAAAACTAAGCTTTCTCCATACTAATTAGCCGTCAGCAGGCGTATTATGTAAATGGAGTCCGTTAGTCAGTCGCCAGCTCTCACTTTTCTTGCGCATTTTCCGTTGCCGTTTCCCCAACCGCCAGCTAATTGCTTAACCCGCTTACTCGAATAACACGCATACGCCCTGTGTTCCCGCTCCTTTCAACCGTTAAGCTGTGTTTTCTTTCGCTGCCTGTGTGTCCTTTGTCTCGCTAATGATAAGAACTTAATAAGGCCTCAATTGTGCTGATAAACGCACTGCACAGAGAGAACTAGATGATATATAAAAAAATATATATACATATTACCCAATTCACTTTATAATAATCCAAGCAAATTCCCAACGAAAATAAATAAATATATTATTAAATGACTTTTGATCCCGCATGAATCGCTTACGAGTGGACTCACCACAATGGGCAGCAGCAGTTCGTGGGTCTCGTTGCCACGCCACAGATGCGAGTCCTGCGGCACATTGGGCATCTCGCACTCGAGCGAATTGATTTTCTCCTGCAGGCGACTCAGGATGCGCGGCCTGGCGATTGGCTTTGAAGCGGTCTTAGTGGGATTAGCTGCGGCAGGACGAGTCCTGGCGGTGGCCAGCAGAGTGGCCATCGTTGTGGTGTGGCTGGCGATTGTGGTGGTGCTGGTGGTGGTGGTGGTGCTGGTGGTGCTGGTGCTGGTGCTGGTGGTGGGGCTGGTGGTCGATGATGGGTATGCCGTCAACTTGTCATCCGACTTTGGCGGTGTCAAGGCCTTGAGCAATAATTTGGCACGCTTAAGCTGCTTCTGATATTTTCCAGTGGTTGTTGCCGGCAGTCTGGCTGTTGTTGCTGCCGTGCTAGTTGACTCAGCAGTTGTTGTTGTGGTGCTGCCCGCCGCTGTAGTTGTGGTTGGGCCAAAAGTTTTCCCTTCTGGCGTCACGTTCGAGCTTGTGGCCCGAGTTGTATCCTCCGCTGACTTTATCGGACTGCCTTCAGCCTTGGCTGCCTTCATTAACTTGCGCTTATTGTGGAGCAGCATTTCGTTGTACAGCTCCTTGCTGTTGTAGAACTTTGTGGTGGAGAACTCGGGATGCGAGGCTGGGGGATTGGGCGCGTCGGCATCCGTTTGGAACTTGGTGTTGGCAAAGTCAATGTGCGGCATGGCCATCACATCGCTGGCGCGATGCTGCATGGGAAACTCGAAGCTCTTCTTGACCCGGCGATCAATGAATGTGTTTCCCGGATGCTGCATGGTCGTTGCTCTGGGTCTCAATGTTGTCGTTTCGTGCAGCTGGAATTTGCTCTCGATTTCGGTAATCAAATCATCCTGATCGGCCAGCAGCTTGCCCGTGAAATCGGCTGTCGTTCCCTGGTGCGGTCTGCTTGTGGTGGGCTTCACTGTGGTCGAGCTGTCGAACTTTTCCTGATTTACTTGAATCTTGTCCTTTAGCTCAATCACCTCCTTGTCGACCATCATCTCCACTTCGTTGGGCATCAGATTCTGCTTGTACTCCTCGGCATTTTCAGGCTGGATGAACACGGTTCTCTGCTTAATCAACTCATCATTATCGTTCTGTATAATTGGCTGAATGTCCTCGATTTTCAATGGGTATAGGTCCACTATATTCAGTTTGCTGGCCGTGGGCTGTTGGGCCAACATGGCGTCGTATCTGGCCCGTTCCTCCTCGTTCAAGTCGGCCAACGTTTCGGCTACTTGATAGGAGGCAGCAGCCTGCATCTGAATTTGCAGCGGGGAAATCGTGGGGGTTACATCCTCCTCATCCTGCTCATCCTGGTCCATGGCCTCTGGTTGCTCCGTGGTGGTTGTCGCTGCGTCCACTGGTTTTTCGCTCAGTTTAATCCGATGCAGTGCATCCTTGATGCTGCCTATTTCACCCAAATCGGCTGGTACCATCTTTTGGGTGGTTGTCATTAGCCCGACTGTTGTTGGTGTGGAAGTTTCTTCCATTTCCTCCTCCCGCTCGGTTGTGGCCCGGGTTGTTGTTGTGCTGGTTGTGGCCGTCGTGGTGGGCGTGGCCGTTGAGGTTGACCCGCCCACAGCTGAAATTTCCCTAGATTCGTCCGTGGAAATTTTCAACAGCGTTCTGTTGCTTTTCGCAGTCAAGTCATTTGTTATGGCTTCACTAGTTGTTGCAGCAACCACCGCAATTACCAATGTATAAATGTACATTTTCCACATTTTTCTGGCTTTGAATTTCCCTTTGGGGATTTTTCGTCGTTTGAAAAATTGTTACACTATTTCAGTTTTTATAAATTTCCGCTCATGGCGACTGCAAATCTGTAAATAGAAAAATAGATTATATTAGTGCAAACAACTTTTGGTTTCCCTTTTTTGCAACCACATCCATATATTTGCTAAACAAAAAACGGTCATATATTATGTATAAATCCATGGCCGGCTGACTTTCTGTTGTTTGGCTTTTCTGACAAATATATTTGCATTTAATCGTATTTATTTCCAGCGCGTTTCGCTATACAGTATTTGTTTGGCTTTTTGAAAATCTGACGGCGCAAATAGAATTCATAATGCCAGGCAACATATTAATTAAAATTCCCTACACCCAAACACATTGTTTACGGAAATGCCACGCACACTTGAAATTTTCCAATACAACAATAAGCTGGTAAATACACTTGTTCAGCGAATTTCTGGCCCTTCAAAAAGAGTTTTCGCTCGACGAGTTGTTCGAAAGTATGCAACAAATTTGTGCACTCGACACTTGAAAATTTTTGCCAACTGCTGGTCGAATGTTTTTGTCAGCTAATCGAACAATTTCCCGCATGCGGGTCATTGCGGGCCATTCATAATTCATTGGACAAATTGAATACATGCCAAAGTAAAATAACTTACACATGCAATTGAATTTGATGGCCCGATAAAAGGAAGACTGGAATTACATAATTGACAAAGCATTTCAAGGGGCACTGGAGCCCCAAAATCAGTTGGGAATTTCAAGGGGACCCGATTGATTTGCGGCTTGCCGCGCTTAACCCACTGTTGCCCCTCCTTCTGGCCACTGCCACTGCCTCTGGCAGCTGACAACTCACAGTTGATTGCGCCCAGTGGACTGGACGGGACAACCATTGAGCCAACTTGAGTGGAACTCTAGCTGGACATACATTCATGACTGGCTCTGTACTGGCTCCACGTCCGCCCTTTCGCACGCTTATCTCTGCAGTTTGTCAACGCAGCTGAAGACGCAGAGTCGCCTCATGAATTTCTCGAGTGCACTGAGAGAAAATATCGGGAGAAATTCAACGAACAACCTACTGTTATTTATATTACTCTGCAGTTAGTTAAGCCGCATTTATATAAATTCATAAATTGTTTTTTTACATTTCCTTCACTAAACATGATTTTCTCCCGGTGCAGCATGTATGGATGGGCATGTGTGCTGACTCTAGTTCAACAGTCGTTCGTTGTGGTACTTTATGTGCGACATATTTATCTGGAAAGCCATAATCCTGCAGAGCGAAGAGCGGAGGGGTGGAGGGGCGGCGGAGTTGGTATCTTGAGCTATTTATAGGCACATTTTCCCAGATTAAGTCGGCCCGTGCTCGCTCTGTGAAATGGTTCCCCTGACCAGTCCAATGCGATGAACCATCTCAGATATTCTGTTTGAGCCGAAGTCCTACTGCTGCTTAAACCAAATTGGCCAGGACAAACCACCGACTGATTGGGTGGCTCTGTTGGGTGGGGAAAATCCATTTAATTTGGATAAGTTTCACTTTGGATTGACTTAAATCTGTGAAAATGTGATTTAAGGCAGTTCAAATGAGGTTAGTCTCGTAAGCAGTCATAAAGTTGCTACGAAGTAATTGCTAACGAAAAACATGCATTTTTAAAGCATTTCATAATGGATAAGCAAAGTAATTTAGGAGTATTGTAATGAATTGCTTGCAGGGGTCTGCCCACACTAAATGCAATATCAGATGGGAAATCATTAGTTGGCTTAGTTGGCTACCAGCCCCAAGGGCAGTATATTGGGTTGGCCTATTTACGACCACCGATGGCTGGCGATAAATCAAACCTGGGCGCACACAGTGGCGTCGAAAAGTTGGCACCCGTGGTGCATGTGTAATGCCGACTAAGTAGCTGTAAAATATATTGCAATTTGTTGCAGCTGCGCAACCAGCCGCCCACCCACATTGCCGCATGTCCTTGAGCGCCCCCAGCAGGCATTCAATTAATTATTGTAATGACGAAATTAATTAAAACTCATCCAATTTGAGGCTGCGGCTGGGCCATATTGAAAAGTATATTTATGTTCTGCGGTCTGTCTGTCAGGTGGGGAAACTCAAAGCCCCCAAATGGTTGTCAAATCGGCGTACAAGGGGGGAATGGGAAGTGGTTGGGGGGCTGGGGAAACGTTAAGAGCATCGGGGACTTTCCGGCACAAACAACTTAAGCATATTTCTTTGATTGGCCTGCAGCAGCAAGCGAAAACAAATCAAAATCCGCTTAGTTCCGCATCCCCGGGCCACTCTTCATTTTTTTTTTTTTTTGAAGTCTCCTTAAAGTCAGCGCTGTGGTAAGTCCCGATAACTGAGCCCAACTTTTCGCATCTTCAGCCCCAATATTCCCAGATTTTTCATCAACTTTTTGCGGCTGAGCTGCACACGCAAAAAGTCTGAAAAAAAGCAGTCGTAAGGAGGATAACTGCGGGAATTTTCATATTTCCTTTGAGAAATGAATTTATGCTCCGCAATTGGCCGGCTTTTTGCTGACCACTCTGTACTTCAAAAGGCTTTTTGTCCGACTGTGATTCATTGAGGGCGATGGCTTCAATTAGAAGTGAAGCTCTGCCTTTCGTTTCATTTGCGAATGGAATTTTAAAAGGATACAGCATCAATAGGCAGAAAAAGTTCAAATAGAAAATGAAATAATGGCTAGGTATTTCAGCTTAGTTTGTTTGACTCAGATATTCTGTGTGTCAGTAGTAATTAGCCACACATTGCCCAACAAAATTTTATTGGAAAGGAATTAGAAAATATACTTATACAACTATTACTAAAATAAATACGTTAGTCACTGTATTTTTTCCACCAAAAATATGTCATAAAACCTAATATTCCCCTTGACAAAGCTTATTCAAATCCCTCTGCCGAAATTGTATACTCAAATAGAAAAACTCATTTCCGTAATCCAGAACGAGATCGCCCGACTGTTTCCTGTCATAAATCATGCTCACAAAGCTAATTCCCAAAATGAAACATATCTTACGCCGGCTTACGAAGAGTAAAAATAAAACACTTAAAAATTTCCCAATTTTCTGGAGCTTACAAAAAGAGGCACGCGAAAACGCCGAGCAAACGGAAGAGCAGAGTAAAGAAATAAATACAGAAATGGAGTGAAGTTAGCCTGTAAAAAGCAAAGTAGCAAAAACACATAAATAAACACGTTCAATGGCAAATAAAAAATAAATCAAACATTTCACTTGGCGCGGCCCGAAAATAAATAAAACAGCAACAACAGCGGGGCATCAACAAAAATATTGTAGAAATGCTGGAATAATAAAAGTGAAAATGAAAAACAAATAAAAAACGCTGGCAGGGAGGCGTGGCCCTCTATGTCTGGAAAAACTTTTCCGCTGCTTCTTCTGGGCAAACAGTTGCAGCAGCCGAGGAAAAGCGATGTGAAAGAGCAAAATGTAAATAGAAATAAAAATGAAGCTTAATTTAAAATGCGACGAAGCGTGCCACACACACACACACAGAAAAAACCAGGGAAATGCCTCGAATTTTTTATACTCGGCAGTGTGCAAAATATGTAGCATACTTTTTTGGGCAGCGCACATATTTATTAGGGGAAAATTAAATTTGATAGTGGCCGAAAATCTTTTTGTACTGTATCTGTTCTATATTATTACACTTTCCCCACACTGGTAAACTCTCCCATTACTGGGTATACAAAATACATATACAGTGGGCCATAAACAAGCGCTAATATCAACAGAAAAATAGAAAAAAAAAAGGAGATGGAGATGGGCCGCTGCAGATAAACATTGCGAAAAACATTTTTCGCTCTATGCAAAACAACTTTCCTCCTTCATTTGCCCCCTTTTATATTTGGAAATGTGTGTGCTTTTTTTGTGAGCTTGCTTTGGTCGCATTTTTGGGGTAACACACACACACACCACCACGGACCGAGAAAAAGGCTAAGAGAAGAAGAAATCTAAAACTCGCAACCGCAAAAACCACTCTACTCCGCTCCCCTGCGCTCCTAGACCAACTCCATCCACAAGTTTTTGGCCTGCTGGTGACGTTTTTTTGATAGCAGCCACAGCGCCACCCAAAACAAACTCCCCCTGTTTATACCCCTTAGCCAGGACCTTAAAACAAGGTGTGTCCTTGCACAGTGGTGGCCAAACCGTTGGGCAACTGAAACTGTTTGACTGATTGGCGAGGAGCTGCAAAGTTGTTTAATTGGCTTTAAAACTTGCTGACAGGAGTTTGTTTCGCTAGCTAAGCAGTTGACAAAAGATCCTTTTATAATTCCAAGCTTTTGTGGTTTCACCTATGTTTAAAATTCGTTAAATTATTGCGTTAAATCGCTTGCAAGCCGCGGAATCTGTGTAATAGCTGTAGTCACGAGTTTAGTGAACTTCTTCACGCATCGCCCACAGTGCTCGGTTACAAGAGGGAAAAAGGGGCGTAGTGAAAGGGGGTTTTCATGGGAACTCGAAGTGCTCGGCGCTGCGTTGTAAAGAACTCGCATTTATCTTTATTTTTATGCCACAAACACGCCGTCTTGCTCAAAGCGAAAGAGAGGGCGACATGGCGGGGTTTTTAGTGCGCTACGCAGGGGTTATGGCGGAGTTAACTTTCGCACCCTTGGCCCTCTGCCCCGCCCCCTTTGCACCTACTCCACCCACAGCGCCCCCTTTCCGGGGGCAAACTGAAAGCCAACATTAGCTGGGGCCACGTTGAAGGCGGCGAACGCATACAAATCACAGAAACAAGAAGGTGCGAGTGCGAAAACGACACTCGAAAAAATACATAACCCAAATCAATTTATTCTGATGTAATAAGATGTAGTGACGAGGTAAATCCTCCTGGTTTTTTCTCTATCTTCGCCTTTGTATGGTAAGAAACTTAAAGGTACAATCCTTCTACAGTTGCAATAACTTGTGTGCAGTCTTTGGTCTCCAATTTTTGCCAGTGTACGAAAGAGGCTGGCCAGAAGGCTTCGGGTCGTCGCGGCAGTGGGCGGGTGGGCCTAATCTCTTCAATCTTCTAGTTTTTGCTATGTAAAGTGAGGCGCTTAAGGCCTCTCTTTCTCGTGGGTGACAACATCAGCCAACCGCACAGTCACACACACAGACACACCAACATACACACACACACACACGTGCAGTGCCATGCCTTCAGTGGGAAAATCGAAGCCCTCGCACGCCACTTGAAGCGCTAAGCTAAGCTGGAAAAAACGGGACTTGGAGGGGCTGGAAAAGCCGAGGGAGGGGGTAGCCACAAGAAGCTAGGTAAACTTCAAGTGCTGAGCGGTGGAAAAGGGGGGAAATATCAGGCGAAAGGGGCGGGACCTCGCACATCTGCCAGTAAATATTATTCAATGTAGTTCTTGAAAGCAAAATCACGTACAAACTCCGGCTAAAATCCCTTGTCCGTCGATCCGATCCGTTGAGTCTGCTTATCGTGTTAGTTTTAATTTCAAATTATTTGTTTGGGTTCACCGCCTTTACTTCGGCCTTGGCTCGTGGCTCTGGTGTTTGCACTTTTCCGTTTTGTGTTTATTTTTTTTGTTAATTTCACTTTGTCGCTTTTTGTTTGTTTTTCATGAATTTTACTGTGTTTATACTGCAAGGAATTTTGTGGGTGACTTTCATAGAATGTTATCTTTGGGGCCACAACTACCCCAACTGCTGGCTCACTTGACCAGTTTCGCAAAGTTTTTCTAAGCCGGAAAAGGCTATTACTGAAATACTATCTGCTGCTGTGTTTTCTCTGATAATCTAAACAAAAACTCTGGCTTAACTTTTTTTTAAGCAAAAATGAGCAATACACAGTGGGAATGAGTTAAATTTGAGGACTTTACCCGATCTGATTTCGAAATATTATTAAAACAGCATGCCGTCAAACTGCAAGCATTTCAGATTTCAAGTAAGTAAGTTGTTACGATACAATATTATGAGGTACGGATTCATCACTTAATAAATATATAATAAAAAAAATAAATTAAGTAAACCGTCTTTTCAACTATTGCAATTGCATACTCAAAAATCCTTAATGCTGTGTGGCTACAGCTATTGGTATTTTGTTGGCTGAATATTCTTTTCTATAAATGTGTTTATTCTGTTTATTCTGAGCACTTTTTGGCCGAGTTGTGTGCCGAATTCGCAAGCACTTGGCCAATTCAGCTTAAGCCCACAAGCGACAGGAGCACTTGGCAAAATCCTGGCGATTGGATGAGACCGCTGTGAACTCACTTTGGCTTGCAAACAATGTAAACACACTTCGACCGGGCAACTTGTGAGGTCCTGTGCGATACTCCGACTCCAAATCGCGACCAACCGTAACGCTTCAAAGTTACTCCGCTACTGGTCGCCAGGATGCTGGCCATGTTCAGATAAACGTCCTGGAGCTTTGCCATAAAATCCGTGGGAGAGTGATTGCTCTCCGCAGGACTCGCTGCTCTCCACATGCGCACTCAGCATCCGAGAGGAATGTTTTGGGTTTTATTTGAAGGGAAGTTTCGGCTCTGTGAGGAGAGGTTTGTCTGAAATTACCCAAAACATTGGATGCCCCAACAGCTGGGCAACAGCTGATTCAGGATGAGGATGAGGATGGGGATGGGGATGCGGATGAGGCTTGAGGATGGTAAGGAGCCGAGGCAAAGCTTTCATAACTTGTGGCGCGTTCATCTCTATACGTGTTATCTGTATTTATTTTCCTTTTTCGCCGGCTTCTGCGTCTGTTTGATGTTGCGGTTGCTTTGGTTTCTCCTTTATTATCATCATTATCGTCATCAGTGTGACGCACTCTTGGCTGCCAAATGCTTTTCATTATGCGCACTAATGTCTATGGCCTTTATGTCTAATGCGTGCATAAGGACCCACTCTTAAATCCCGTCTTGGCCCTCTTTGCGGCATATGTATGCGTGGAAATGCGTACATATAAATACAGGGGCATGTCGGGGCACACATTATGCGGATTGGGCCAGTTTATTTGTACTTTTCTTGGCTGTGGATTATTTTTATCATCGCCTGTGCATGTAATTTATTATAATGATTTACACATTAAGTATCATTAAGCCGAGTGCTCGCTGGGCTGTTGTGTGTAAGGGCGTATAAATTGCAACTAATTGTTCACAACGCGGCGTATGCGTGATATATACGCAAAACTTTAATGAGAGCGCAAATATTTACACGCACCCACACACTCGCAGCCAGCGAGTTATTAATAATCCTGCATCGTTTGGGGAACTTGAGGCAAATTCTCATCGGCACCTTAATGAGCAACTTTTCCAGCAGTGCGTGGGTGGGCGGTGGGTGGAAAATGATTGCGGAAAAGCACCCAGCCCGCACGCAAAACTTTCCTTCTCATCAATTCGAAACTAAGAGGAGAATTTCGCAGGCGTGCATGATATTTATGCCCCGGATTTGGGTGTTCCCCCATCGCCTCCCTTCGCTTCCCTGGGAGGTTCATTAATTTTTCGCCAGCTCTTCGTTTGCAATTATACAAGGAAACTTTTCGCCGCCAGTTCGACAGCCAAGCCAACGGATTGACAGTGAGATATTGATTTGATGCATTGCCAGAACTCGTCGGACTTTGTGTGTTTCTGATTTATTTGTGAGCTGCCTGCGTGAGCGGTGAAATCTGCCAAAACTTTTGGCACAAAATGTCAGTCTACAAAGGGGAAAATATTGCGCAAACCCCTCTGACACCAAAGAGTGCAAAGATCACTTTGACATTTTCATTTAATTAGAATTCATGTGGCATTTCTGCCTGTGTAACCGCTTACAATTCCACTTAAAAGCAACTAAATGACAGTCGTTCCCCAGGCAACTTTGTCTGCTAAACGCTGCCATACATCCGATATTTCGCTATCAGCAACCAAACACACCACACGAAATGCATTAAAAATATGCCAGGCATAAAAAGTGTTCTACCATTCTGTGAATTTAGCGCACAAAGTGGGAAAACTTTCGATTTTGTGTGGGCCATGGTTGGGAGGATATAAAAGATTGGCACCGCGCTTTATTGCCCTAGTTTTCCCAGCCCTTTTTATCTATTTTCTGCTTCTGCTTTCTTTTTTTTATTATTTTTTTTTTGTGGCTGGCGCCTTCTGCACCTTGACACTTTTGCAATTGTCGCATGGGAATATTTTTCCATCCGTTGTTATTCTTGCTCAATTTGTTTTTGTGTGCCCCCATTGTTTGGGCCCAGTTTTGTTGATTTTTATTCTCGTTATTCCCCTATTTTTCTGTACGTTTTCTGCACTTTTTATTTATGGTTAGTGCAGCAAAATATTTCAGCATCAGGCGGATAACCAAAGTGCCGAGTGTGAGGGCGGCATCGGGCCAAAAACTATGTGGGTGATTTTTTATGGCTTTGCCTTGCCCCTTCAGTTCAATGAATAAATCATTGGACACCAAGGGGATTGGTTGGGGCTTTGCAAAATGGAGTGAGACTTCTCTGGTAATGTTTGATAATATTTTATGGAAATGTCTGTACTCGTTTTGGCTTTGCATAAATGCGTCGGGAGTCGGACGAACTGAAAAGATAACAATTAGGCAATGAGCTTTAATTTTGGAACACGTTTAAATTAGCATTTGAAACCTATGATTTTAATAGTACCGGATGCAAATAAATATTTCCTAAAGCTTCAAGGAAAACCCCATTTAAGTTGTCAATGTCTGAACCCCTTAGCGTTACCCTCTTTTTGCAAGCCGATCCCATTAGCCGAAAATCCCAGAACTTTCGCTGGCTGCAGGCCAGCAAAAGTAAACTAAGCAAATCTGCTGGCATTCTAATCCTTTTGAAATTTGCTTTAATTAACTCGAATAATAAGCAGCATCCGCATACTTTGTACTGCTCCTTCTGCCGGAGCCTTTTTATGCTGTTCGTGGGCTTATGAGCTTTGGCACTTTGTGGTTAAAATTTTGTGATTTTTTTCTTTGGCATTCGGATTTCCGACATTTGCCAAAGCAAATTTCAGCAGAGCGGGACTAATAAGCCAAACAAGAGACACTGGAGAGGGGGCGGATGGGAAAAGGGCGTGGCTGGCAGACAAAGTTAATACGACACAGCTGCCCTCGCGGTTGGTGGGCAATTGAAAAGTTTATTAATAACCCGCAGAACGGCAGTGGCAGCCATACGAACTTTAAAGAGACTGCTGCTCATTTTTATTTGCATGATTTTTATTTTTAATTAAAAGAAGGCAAGCCTGAGCGGTAGTGAGTGCGGTCTGAGGGAAATGTAATTACATTTGAACAGCATGCGAAATATGTTTTAATTTATTAAATTAAAATAAGCGAAAAAGAACCGGAATGAAGGAAAAAAAAAAAAAAAAAAAAACAGCAACAAAACAACAGGCAAAGGAAGCAACCAGCCGCAAACCGAGTGCCCAAAGCAATTTGAACCAACGTCACACGCGGCGTATGCGTAATGTGCTCGCAACAAAATCAACGTTATGCAAATTTTAATGCGAGCATAAGGCGGAAACGAAACGGCGCTACGCTTGCCAGTTTTCTCCTGAATCCTGTTACGAGAATCGCCAGGGTATCGCCTGGGCATGATGGACCCATGCATTAGAAGTCAACTAAGCTGACCACATGAAAAATTTTATGAACTGTATTGTATATCTTGTAAGTGTGCCATCATTGCCATAATAATAAAACCATGTAACTTACACAATAAAACGCTTAAAATATTGCCTACATTTGGGGGCACGCCGTAATTCTATGCGATTAAATGCCATATTTTATATGAACCACTATTGAGGGAGCTCAATTACGGCAAGAGCCACAACAAACCAATTTCAGCTTTCCGAGCAATTGAGCAATCCGAGGGTATCGCTTAAAGCCGACCCAAATCGGCGCAGGACTCCTTCGTCCTGCCAGTCGACTGGCAGTCGCCCTGCAGTTGTACTTGTATTTACATAAGCGTCCGTATGTATTTCTCACGGAGCACTCGCCTGGCGCAAAATTACACTTTGTTGGCGAGACACACACTCAAACACACCCATACTCACACACTCACACGCACACATGCACACATCGTGGCGCAAAAAATTGTAATGAGCTTATTAAGTCATATTAAAGTCCAAGTACAGCCAATTTGATAAAAACAGCAACTGACAGCAGACCGGCAATGTTTCCATGCGACATTTTTTACGATAGCATTTGGCATTAATGTTAATAGCAAATGGCGTAGACACACGCGGTAGCTATGTGCGGTACACTCGAAGAAAAGCTAGGTTTTAATGAGTAAACAACAAAGGTGCTGATTTGTATCTTCGCCTTGCGAAGATACGTAGATGTAGAAGAAATATAAAAATCATTTGCCTTACTGTGATTTGAAAGCAATGAATAGTAAACAATTTCTTTAGGTGCACGTAATTTATATGACTGATGTAAATGAGCTTGGCAGCAGGTGGCTTAACATTTTTATTCGCTCCGCACTGCGGTAAATTGTTGTTAACTCGGCTTAATTGAGTATGATCAAATGTTCGCTGAGTTTGCACTCGACTATATTTCGCCCGAACTTTCAAAATTCATGAAATGCTGCGCACGAAAACAACATAAACAAAGCCCAGTTAAAGTTAAAAAAAAAGTCGTAAATATGCCGATACTTGATCAAATGCTTCCTACCAGTAAGTAAAGTTATTACATACTAGATAATTACTCAATGAACTCACTTCTGCTCCCAGATCTGGGTCCCAATTTGGTGACAGCCTCTAAAGCGCTTAAAAGTCCTCTTGGCCAGGCGTTGGTCTCCTTCTTGGTGGGCTACTTTGTCACCACAAAGTTGTCGCAATTTTACGGCAAGTTCAAGAGGGACTCTGAGAAAACCGACGCATCGCAGGAGGATTTGGACACACCACCCAGGGAAGACAGTGAGTCAGTGACCAAAGGACACGACATTGTCCTGCTCACTGTGGAGGAGCTAACTGCCTTCGATGGCTCCAGCCCCAGTCTACCCATTTACACTGCCCTCAACGGCCTCATATACGATCTGAGTCCGGGCCGAGAAAAGTTCAGCACTCATGGGCCATACTCCCTTCTGGCCGGCTGCAATGCCAACAAGGTCCTGAACATTGCCTGCAGTTCCATGGGCGTCTGCGCCCCGAATGTGATAAGTCGCTGGGAACGGAGCCTGAAAGCCGAGTTTGCAGTCGTGGGCTACCTAGTAGTTGCGGATTTATATTTTGATGATGGGGGTCTAGAGAAACACGAAGATTTGGCCGCAGCGGATCAAACGGTGTGATTCTGCTTAAGGTGCTGTGAATATCCCATTTTCTTAGCTTGGCAATAAAATATTATTCATCGAACTAGTAATTTAATTCCAAGCCAACTAAAGGGGATATTCACTGCAAATGCATTTGGAAAAATTACATGTAACTTGTAGCTTGAGCTGTAGAAAAAAGAAAATTAATGAAGACATATTTTCCGCTGGTCTTGGGTTGCCAAACAAATGGTCGGCTATTCCTTTCAGAATCTCCTCCTGCTTGAGATTAAATTAATTCTCCCCCTCCATTTTGCCGTTTGACCGAGCTCCTGGCATTTGGAAAGCGGAAAAGTTTTTCCGGCTTTGTCTTGTGATTTTTTTTGCTCAGCGGTTCGACAGGAAAATATCGACAACGGCAAATGTCGATAACAACAAATTGTTTGTCGTGTTTTCTTTTTTACTTGGCACTTTTTGCCCATCAAGCTGTTGACTTTGTCAAGTTGTCGCCGAATTTTCAGGGCTTCGGGTGATTCGGGTTTCCCATTGTGCTGGTATGTGTGTGGAAAAACTTTGCGCCAAACACGCAATTGACTTAAATTGAATTGAAAGCTGAATGCTGAAAGGCAAGAAGTGACAAAGTGGGCGGGAGAGCAGAAGGAATGCCGTCAGGTGCTACACAGCTAATAAAATCAAAATTACTTTTCGCCAGCGCAAAGTTTCGCCAGTCGACGTGCTTAAGGAATTTAAAAAAGTTGTCCAAAAATTGTTAAGCACACACTTCAAATTCAGTCAAATGTGCAAAAGGACAACACACACTCGCTGCCAAGTAGCAAGAACAACATTTGGCAAAGTGTTATTTGAAGTGTCGAATTTGATCAAGCGCAAAGGTGACAAAAGGGCTCAGAAGTTAACAACAACTACGGCCAACAATAACAAGTGGAAATGGTCCTTAAAAGCTTAGGAGATGGCGGAAAGCTGGAGCCAGCCAAGATGGAATGGACAATGTCCTGGAGTGGCCCATTTGCATAAATTGTACTCACTCTTTTCAGTTTTTTATTTGGACTTACTGAAATCCGATTGCGATTACCCAACACCATAACAGAACATGATAGAATGCTATAGTCGAGTTCCCCGACTATCAGATACCCGTTACTCAGCTAGTGCAAGTGCAAACGAGAAATTTTAACATTTTCATTTAATAAAATAGAAAAAAAACTTAAATATTTTTTAAAAGTGTTTCGCCAGAAACATTTAGAGGTATTCCACTTCAAAATCCAAATAAAATAAGTTGAGTTATGGAGTTTAGACCTTCAGTCTTAGGGCATTTCTTAATTTTCTTGAATTTCTACAACATCATAACATCAAAAATGTACAAAAAAATTTCAAAAAAATAATTTTTTAAATTTGAATGCAGATTTTTAGAGAATTGCGCCAGAAACATTTAGAGGTATGCCACTTCAAAATCCGAATAAGATAAGTTGAGTTATGGGGCTTAGAACTTCAGCCTTAGGGCATTTCTTAATTTTCTTGAATTTCTACAACATCATAACATCAAAAATTTACAAAAAAATTTCAAAAAAATAATTTTTTAAATTTGAATGCAGATTTTTAGAGAATTGCGCTAGAAACATTTAGAGGTATGGCACTTCAAAATCCGAATAAGATAAGTTGAGTTATGGGGTTTAGAACTTCAGCCTTAGGGCATTTCTTAATTTTCTTGAATTTCTACAACATCATAAGATCAAAAATTTACAAAAAAATTTCAAAAAAATTATTTTTTAAATTTGAATGCAGATTTTTAGAGAATTGCGCCAGAAACATTTAGAGGTATGCCACTTCAAAATCCGAATAAGATAAGTTGAGTTATGGGGTTTAGAACTTCAGCCTTAGGGCATTTCTTAATCTTCTTGAATTTCTACAACATCATAACATCAAAAATTTACAAAAAAATTTCAAAAAAATAATTTTTTAAATTTGAATGCAGATTTTTAGAGAATTGCGCCAGAATCATTTAGAGGTATGCCACTTCAAAATCCGAATAAGATAAGTTGAGTTATGGAGTTTAGAACTTCAGCCTTAGGGCATTTCTTAATTTTCTTGAATTTCTACAACATCATAACATCAAAAATTTACAAAAAAAATTCAAAAAAATTATTTTTTAAATTTGAATGCAGATTTTTAGAGAATTGCGCCAGAAAAATTTAGAGGTATGCCACTTCAAAATCCGAATAAGATAAGTTGAGTTATGGGGTTTAGAACTTCAGCCTTAGGGCATTTCTTAATTTTCTTGAATTTCTACAACATCATAACATCAAAAATTTACAAAAAAAATTCAAAAAATTTATTTTTTAAATTTGAATGCAGATTTTTAGAGAATTGCGCCAGAAACATTTAGAGGTATGCCACTTCAAAATCCGAATAAGATAAGTTGAGTTATGGGGTTTAGAACTTCAGCCTTAGGGCATTTCTTAATTTTCTTGAATTTCTACAACATCATAACATCAAAAATTTACAAAAAAATTTCAAAAAAATTATTTTTTAAATTTGAATGCAGATTTTTAGAGAATTGCGCCAGAAACATTTAGAGGTATGCCACTTCAAAATCCGAATAAGATAAGTTGAGTTATGGAGCTTAGAACTTCAGCCTTAGGGCATTTCTTAATTTTCTTGAATTTCTACAACATCATAACATCAAAAATTTACAAAAAAATTTCAAAAAAATAATTTTTTAAATTTGAATGCAGATTTTTAGAGAATTGCGCCAGAAACATTTAGAGGTATGCCACTTCAAAATCCGAATAAGATAAGTTGAGTTATGGGGTTTAGAACTTCAGCCTTAGGGCATTTCTTAATTTTCTTGAATTTCTACAACATCATAACATCAAAAATTTACAAAAAAAATTCAAAAAAATTATTTTTCAAATTTGAATGCAGATTTTTAGAGAATTGCGCTAGAAACATTTAGAGGTATGGCACTTCAAAATCCGAATAAGATAAGTTGAGTTATGGGGTTTAGAACTTCAGCCTTAGGGCATTTCTTAATTTTCTTGAATTTCTACAACATCAAAAATTTAAAAAAAAAATTCAAAAAACAAATTTTTTAAATTTGAATGCAGATTTTTAGAGAATTGCGCCAGAAACATTTAGAGGTATGCCACTTCAAAATCCGATTAAGATAAGTTGAGTTATGGAGTTTAGACCTTCAGCCTCAGGTCATTTCTTACTTGTTTTGAATTTCTACAACATCATAACATCAAAAAAATTACAACAAAAATTAAAAAGAAAAAATAGAATCAGCCAATCGATAGAAATTTACAAAACTAATAAAAAAGTAAAAAATATTACAATACTTACAAAAAATGTGGAAAAAAATTTTGAAATGAACTTGCGCTGCGTCTATGTCTCTGGAAACTGCATACTTAATCTTAACATTCTAGCTTTTGTAGTTCCTGAGATCGAGGCTTTCATACGGACAGGCTTTCATGGCCAGATCGACTCAGCTATTGATCCTGATCAAGAATATATATACTTTATATGGTTGGGAACGCTTCCTTCTGCCTGTTATATACTTTCCAACGAATCTAGTATACCCTTTTACTCTTCGAGTAATGGGTATAAAATCCATTATGCTAGTACAGAGCACTTAAAGTTTTAAACATTGTCATTTAACATGCCACTTTAATGGATCTTTATTATTGATGATGACAATAATGCGGACAAAGGTAATTACTCATTCAGTTTTTAAATGACCCTTTTGAAATGAATTAACTGAAGGGAGTCGTTATCATTTTGGCAATTCATTATATGTAGCTCCTTAAAATAAATTTCCACTTAGCCACGCCCCGAAACTTTCCCGGTCATGGCATCCTATATAATTTGTGCCAAATTCTGAATTTATTACCATCTGGTTGTCATGTGCAAACGATGCTCTAACCCCTATTTCGCAGAGGATATGGAGCTGGAGACCTACAGCCAGTGTCATTCGTTCATTTTAATGTTTTACGTGACCCATTCGAAATCGAATCGAATGACTCATTAAATGCAGAACGGGCCAAAACAGTTGGGTTGGCGAAAAAAGGGGGAAGGTGGCCATAAAAGATGTGTTCTAGGTGAAAGGCAATTAACCATAAGAGCTTATGTCGTGGAACGTGCCTAATTGCTAGAAAACACTAGTCGAATTGCGTCTGGATTTAGGTGTGTTTGCCCAGGGAAATTCAAATGAGTGTGTGAGTGTGGCAAACAATTAGTTTTCCAATTTCGAAACTAAAATGTTGGCAAACAACACAAATTAAATTCGCCCGAGCTGCATTCTGATTTTCCGAAGGAGGGGAAAGGATTCACTTTCTTTCTGGCCAAAGTTTACTTTGCTCTTTGCCATTCGCTGCTTGCGGGAGTTAATTTAATTAGTTTTCATTTATCTAAAGTACACGCTTCATTACATAATTTAACAATTCATTGGATTGAGCCCGGCTTCGTGGTAATTGAAAAGCGCGTCACGCTCTAGCCCCCACATTTTCCAACGCCCCGATTTCCTTGCACATCTGAGTCCTGCCCCTCATTTCGCAGTCTGGTTTTTATGTTCACTTTGTTATTATTGCCGGCAGACAATTGCTAATGGTCGCTGTAATTATCATTAAATGGCTCGCTTTCTTTTTAATTCCTCAGCCATCGCTTCTTCCACCTCCCAATCTCAACACTTTTATCCTTTTTTGCTGGGAACAATGGCTGTGGCCCAACAGCTGCTGGCTACATTTCAATGTGTTTGTGAAGGGATTAAGCTGCACTTGGCTCCTTAATTTGATTGCATTCGAGAGTGATTTGCCATTCATGGACAATTATGGGTGAGCGGAAAAGGAAATCGTAACTGAAATGTGAAGGGCTTACTTGGGGCTTAACTGAGTACTCAAGATTGCTTTTAATTCATTTTACAAGATATATTTGTCAGGGGCTTGTGTCTATCACGTAAGTAGACATCCGAATGCTACAGTTAGGAAAACCAATTGTAATTATACTCTTTTTCCAATTACCACATCATCAGTAGCATTTGCCATTCAATGAAAGACATCGGTAAGGAACAACATATGTTTTCCAACCTTTTCTTCTATTTGCCGTAGAGGCTTAAATTTGGCAACGAGCTGTGCGACAAGTCAAATGCCATGCACCCACTTTGGTAATAATTTTCATTTTTCTCAGGGCGCTCTGGAAACATTTTGATGTTTCGCAGGGCCAGAATTTGATTTACAAAGGGCGCTGCATTGGCCCAAAATGGGTGGCCCGCCCCATTGCCCCATTGCCCAATGGCATTTTGAATTCATAAATCCATGTTGCCCAGAATGACACCGAAACAAAGCAAGCGAAACGAAAGCCGAACCAGTTTTGGCCCATATATCAGGCTTAATTGCAATTCAGGGCCTGAAGGCCTTCAGTGGGCCTCGCAATTTGCGAGCTTTTCAGTTGACCCAAAGCCATTTTGCCGGCGATGTCTAGACTGGGCTCGCACTCCGTTGTTGCGCATAAGTTTCCAGGCGAAACTCCAGCCCGGCCCGGCCCATTAAAAGTGGCCACAGACGGGCTGTCTCGGGTGCGTTATGCGAGTACTTTATATTCAAAAGTGTGTAATTTGCAAAAATGTCGGCCGGGGCTCCAACGGCATCGCCCCCAGTGGCTCCCAAAGCGCCAGCAGCTGTGCTCGTCACATTAACCTGATGCCATCGGGAAAAGGGCGGAAAATGCGCAGCGGCTTACACTGCGAGAAATGCCCAGCATCAGCAGTTTCAATGGCTCACAACAGACATGGCTCACAAAATGCCTACAAGACCTACTTTTTGGGAAGTTATGACAGTGATTGAATGTTGCAACATTTTTCTCAGTGTGCTTTCTAGGTTCTTAGGCTGTCGCCTTTTTGTAGGTCGCCAGCGCAGCCTTCTCGTTGTTGCTGCTGTCGCCAGGTCGCGGCTAATTATGTTTTTTGTATGTCCTTACGCATAGCGAGAGGCAAAGGACGACGCTACTCCTGTGTGCCCATGTGTACGTGTGCGTGTGGGTGTGCAACGTGTGTGTGTGTGTGTGTGTGTGTGATTATCGTCTCGGATTTAATGCGCACTTTGATGTGAAACATTGCTAATTTGGCTTTTTATGTTCTTGTCGGCGCTGCTCATTTTTCCTAACTCGGCCCTGATTGCTGTTGTTTCTGCCCCGCCCTGTGGTTTTTTCAAAGCCGCATTAATGCTGGTGACGCTTTTTACGCGGCCTTGATTTCAATTATGAGCATGTAAAGTAAATGTAATATGCCATGAAGGGTTGTCAATAGTACGACAAAAGGGCTTGGGGAACGGTCCCAATGAACCAAAATGAAAGCGTATTATACCTTTGATACCTGACATCGAGACCCGTGACCTTTGACACCGGCAGATGATTTACGAATTCGGCTTATCCCGCACTAAACTTGGCAATTTACTTCAATTTCTCCCTGCTCAAGTTGATACCACCTTGTAGCAGCTTCCATCCATTACGCTGCCACGGAGACTTCAAAGTTGGCGTTGTTTCAATTAATCCTTGGGGAAAAAACATTCTCGGCTTACAAAGTCAGACGAGTTTTTTGTGCCGGGGCAATTTGTGAATTGCGAAAATTGATTTATGGCATTTTTGCACAGCCATCTCACATTTCACTCTTCACTTTTCACTTTGCTGCCGATGACAGCCGACGCAAAAACAAAAAAAAATCGAAGTCAGCACGGTGGAAAAAAGTAAGGGATATGGCAAAAAATACGGCTAAAAGCTGAAACAAATGGCAGACATAAATCCATCATCATCAACATTATCGTGATGGCCGAGAAGCAGCCAAGCGTTTGAACAAATTGACTGCAAGCAATTTGGGCTAAGAAAGTGGAAAAAACGAGGAGTATAATTTAGACAAATATTGCTCATACGCAGTGGTGCCTGCAGCAACAGCAGCAGCAGCAGCAGCAGCAGCAGCAGCTGCCCGGGTACTTAATTTAAATAAATCGACACAGACAGAGTCACAACCTACCCAGTTCTCACACTTCCCTTAATAAATTGTAATCGACTTAATTGAGTGATCCATCTGACGGCAGCAAGTTATTACAACTCCCAGCCACAAAACCAACTGAAAGTTTAATAACATTTATGGCCGCTGGCCAAATTAAGTGAAGCAGTATCACTTGCACACACAGAATATCTCCCCAAATGGGGTTGAAGACCTAACCCTCGGCCAACTGCTGATAAATTGGTTTCATCTCAAAGTTCGGTCCAGTCAGACAGTCAGTCCATCTGGATCGCCACTGAATTCCACTCGCCCTTCGCTTAGTTCATAATTTACTTACCCAAGAGCAAAAGCCAAGACCAGATGTTTGACTCTACACTTTAACCAAAATGTTTTGCCGCAGTGCCGCTGCCAACAATAACAGCAACACAGCAAAGCCAAAATATGCAAACAAATGGCTTAAACTGTTTTTAGCCCTCGGGCTGACAATGAATTTTGCAGAATTTACCGACTTCGACTCTGTGTTCAAGTCACTAAAGCTATACAAATTTTAGTGCGAGTTTGCCACTCTGCATACCATGGGCTAAAAGTGTCCGTTTCCAATGAAAGTGCTTCCGAATAGAATCGAATTTCTTAGCTCCATGTTTCTGAAAGTATGTTCATATTTATAAGCCACTGATAACCCAGAAGGGCAGTAGCTGAATCTGACAGATAAGAGTCTCCATACTTATAATACAGCTGCAAAGCCAAAAACTGTTTAGTTGATTGAAAGCATTGGATCGAGGAGCTGCTCATAGAAAGTCTATTATATACAGTTCCATTCCAAGAATCGAATTAATGGATATGAGGTGTACAATTATAGTTACTCTGGCCACGCTTTTGGCCTTTGGGAAACACGCACATGCCCACCAAACATATTATTTAATGGGGGAAGAAGACAAAATACATTTGGACACAATTTTTAATGAAATTGATAAATTGGATCACTTGATAAGGGTCGAGGTAAGTCAACTTAGTTTTCTTCTGCTCGTAATATTCATTTACATCAATCCCAGCACGCACATTTTCCTGCCTATTCCATTGGAACAAACGGCTATGTAAACGAAAGTGCCATTGGTGCTTCTGATATGTTAGATATGTATTCTACATTTTCTTATATCGCGAGGCACTACAAAAAAATGAGAAAATTCGAATCAGCTCAGTGGGAAAATATGACACAACTGAACTTGGCCAAGGCGCAGGTACTCACAGGAAAAGATGTGAAGTCCATGGAGCGGGTTAACCTGAAACTCTTTGGAGAGGATGATCTTATCAGTCGACTGGCCCTGGTCAACCAGGTAATAATATGATACATTGTGTCCTCCTTTACGGAAACAGAAACCTTTAACTTGATTTCGCTAAATATGTTCGAATAGTTACATCAATACACGTGCAACACGCCGCAGTCGCCGCAGCTTTTTCTTTACGCTTTTTATGTGAACTACCTCGTTCACGAACTGAAGGCTCACGCCCTAGTAGAGTGGGCGTGGCTGCTGCTCAGGAAGTTTGGCCAAGGGGGATCTGTGGAGGAGGAGCAAGCGAGCAGGGAAGCCTACAAGCGGACAGAAGGCACTCTGCCGAAGATCAAGGAGCTGATGAGCCTGGCAGATCGCTCCGTGTGGCGCTGTGATCCCTGGAAACACGAGGCCGGGGTCACCTACGAGGAGGTCACCCGTCTCCTGCAGGGCTACGTGGAGAACGAGGTGGACCTGAACGACGATGGAACGTGCCGCCGAGACTGTGGCTACTACAAATCCGCCAGAAATGAGGGCTGCTTCGATAGTGAGTTCTGTTCCGAGCAGCCCAAGTGTTCGGGAGGAGTGCACGATTGCCGCTTTGTGGAGTCGAATATGCAGATTTGCCAGGCGGAAAAGAACTCCAGCAGGCGGTACGAGTTCATAGAGTACCAAAGTGGTCTAGTTCATGGCAATCAGAAGCCTTGTGGCACGCGAAACAGCGCAAAGAGCTGGAATCGGTGGCTTTTCGTGGAGTGTAGCTACTGCCTATGCTTGTGCGATGATCAGAGTGCTCGATCGGATCGCTACTTCAACCTGCGCCCTGTGATCGCCGATGTGGAGAACAACAGGTTAGTACTTTGTTTACTTGTATACAGGGTATAGCCAGTCTGCACCTCACAGGGTCGTGACGGGTCTGCGATTTGTGAAGAGCAGGCGCATTTTCCACCTGCAGGTGCAGGAAGGTCAGCTTCTGCCACTTGGAGTCATCAACGAGACCACTCTTCAGTGGAAGCCCCTGGATGCGTACTCCATATCCGACAAGGATGTGACTGAACACGCTGACTACCATACGCTGAGCTACGAAAAGCGAGCCCTTGATCTGGGTGATCTGAAGGCGGATAACAGTGCCGTGGTCACCGGTCTGCGGTTCCGAGTGGTGGGAGCTCATCTCCAACTGGAGGCCCAGTTCAGCGCACTTGAGTTTGAAAGCGGAAAGCTCATCGATCCCAAGAGGACGAGCCAGTGGACGTCCTTGGGCGCCAGTCAGCATAGGTAGGTAGTTACAAATAATATATAAGGAATTATATGTGTCCATCTCTTGTTCCGCAGGGAGAAACTGCCTCTGAAGGACGCCCAGGTATCCAGTAAATCCCCGGAGCTCTCGATACCCTATCCAAGTGACAACCAGTACATCGAATTTACCAACACGGGCTTCGTTGAGGATGCTGCCCAAACTACGGTGCCGTTCATCGATATTCAGGACGTCGTGTCGGAACCGGCGGTTCCGCTTTCCGGAATCGGAATATACTATAAAGGTCTAGAGGGCTACGGTGGTTTCCTGGCGCCCCGAATCACCACCTACGACTTCACTCCATATGTCCACTTGCCCACATGGGAATCAATGCACTCGAAGGATGCGCATTGATTGCATCTGTGCGACTTACAAGTTCGTTGAATGTCGAGTAAAATCCTATTCCAATGTTTTATATTTTCTATGGAAAATCATGATTCATTCGCATGCATCATTCGTAGCGATTTCATGGTAAATAAAAGCAACAAAACAAGCATTCGCGCTGATAGATGTAGTTGTAAACTCGACAGCTTATCTGTAAACTCAGATTAATTATCGCCAAGATTACAACAAAATGATATTCTAAATTTAAGGCGCATCATTAAAGCGGCTACTTTATCGAAAAGAGGATACTGTTGAGTGCACCTCATTATTCATTTGGCTTTCGTTCGCCAAAAAAAGGATGGCAGAGCCGCCATCGGGTCTGACTTTATTCTGACTGCTGGGAAGGCAGCTCCGTGAGCCTTAACCCTCTGTCGGCCTCATTCCCTTAACCCCTTGAGACAGCAGCAGTTGGCCAGAAAGCAGTGGCAAAACTCAGAAGCTGGACCAAAGGACGAGAAGGAGGAGAACAGACTTTTTGTCGCATGCTCCGCGCGCATTTGGACTGCATAAAATATGGAATTAAATTGGTAGCCAACAAAATGGCGCCTGGGAAAATGATAAAAATATGAGACAGGAGCGCAGGATCTCCGTCCTTTCCCGCCACTTTTCCACTGTCCCCCCAAAGCTCTTTTGGCACTTTGTTGCGAATTCTCTTGGCGCTGTCGAGTTGATGACTTGCAGCTGTCGCATTTCTTTTCAGACTTTAGCAACTGCAGTGGAACCAAACGAAACGGCTGTTGGCACCTGGTTAGCCACCAGGTGGATGAGGATGTGGACGTAGATGAGGATGTGGATGCGAGAAATGGCATTTTATTTGACGGCAAACATTGCGGCTCCTCGTGGCAAGTTTCCATCGCACACTCTCCGAAAATTCAAAACGAAATTTGCTGTTGGAAAAGGAGAAGTGTACACATAAAGGATTTTTACAACTGCAACTTGTGTTAACAGTTCTCTATTGTCACTTCCCCAACAGTCCAAACTAGAAACCTTCCGGTACTAGAAGTTTATACCTACCGAATACAACTCACTCCTGATCCAAGTTCCCTGCAATCGCAGTGAGCCTTGACATTTCCAACGCATTAATTTTATTTTCTAAAATTAAATATCGGCTATCTAAGTTGGTAACCTATACTTCGTAAATATGGGCGAAAGGAGCTTTCGCAAACTGGGCTTGGCTGTGATCCTGACGACCCTCATCCTCTACGCCCTGCTGTTTCTGGACACGGAGTTCTACGAGGCCGGCGGAAAGATACATAATGCATTCTTTGTGAACACCGACGGCTGTCGCATTATAGCCATGGATGTGATGAACCCGACCATTGCCAAGTACACCGATTGGGAGTGGAATGACAAGAGGTTCTACCTGAAGTGCCCCTATCAGACCTGGTTCCGAACGGAGGTGGCCAACGGGGATTGGTACCTGAGGCTGACCCGCGACATCGACAGAATCTTGCAGGAAAGCAATCTGGCCCACGACTGGCAGATAAAGTGCTATTGGTTCCGGATAAAACTCTTGGGGCATTGGAGGTCCGTACGTTACGGTCGCACCAAGTTCTCTCTGGAGTACCCGTATGCCCTGAAAGTGCCCAAAGGACTGAGACACTTGCGAGTCATGTGCATGAACACTTTGACGAACAAAACCTTGCAGGATGATGTACATTTCTTCATCCAACCACCGCCTGAGAAGCTGCTGAAGAAGGCTCCGACGACCTTAAAGTACTGGGACGGGAAGAAACACTCGAGTGGAGGCACTCCCCCCATTTCTGTGATGATCTTGGGCTTGGACTCCGTTTCGCATCTCAATTTGCTTCGCCAGATGCCGAGAACCGTGCGCTATATGCGGCAGAGCATGTCGCATGTGGAGTTTTGGGGCTTCAACAAGATCGGCACCAACACCTATCCAAACTTGATTGCTCTGATGACGGGTCTCAGTGAGGCTGAGGCTGAGGCCTATTGGGTGCAGCAGAAATGTATGGATGACCTGCCACTGATTTGGAAGAAGTTCAAGAGGGCCGGCTACAATACCAGTTTCGCCGAGGACATGGCCCGCTATTCCATGTTCTACTTCGGCAAGCCCGGCTTCAAGCGTCCGACTACGGATAACAATTTGCACGACTACATGGTGGATCTCTATATCCATAGGCGGGCCAGTTCGGTAGCAGATACCCATTGCATGGGCGAAAGGACCTTCATAGATATCCTCCTGGAGATGAACGACAGGCTGCTGCCCCACACACAGCGCTATCCCTTCTTCTCCTTCTACTGGTGGGCCAATGGCTTCCACGAGTTCTTAAACTCCCCCCGCCTGGCGGATGGAAGATTTGAGCGATTGCTATGCAGCCTCGACGACGCCGGCATAACCAATAACACCATTGTACTCTTCATGTCGGACCACGGCCTGAGATGGGGTCGCTTTCGCAGCAGTTTCCAGGGTATGATTGAGGACAGCCAGCCGTTCCTGTCCGTTTTGTATCCCGATTGGATGAGAGTGAAGTACCCGGTGGCCATAAAAAATCTAGTTGGCAATGCCCACAGTCTGGTGACCACCTTCGACCTTCACGAGACCTTGAAGCACATCCTGCATCCGAGTTCCCTAGAGGATGCGCCCATCACGCAGAAGACGGACGAACTGTGGACGCTGAAGGGTTCGGATACCCCCAGGGCCATTAGCCTGTTCTTGCCCATTCCGCCCTGGAGGAACTGCAACACGTCCCAGATCCCGAGTAAATTCTGTCTGTGCCACAAGCAGGTACCCATTCCCGAGAGCAACCGAGTGGTGATTAAGTCGGCCAGCATTATCATCGATTACGTGAACCAGTTGATGGTGGAGTACCCCGTTTGCATACCCCTTCAGTTGGATTCGATCGAGAGTGCCTATTTCGCGGCTCCCCATCGGGACAATGACTTCTACATCGAGAAGGGGCACAGGAACGCGTATCCCGAGCAAGGACCCTTCAGGGACGGGCGAAAGTTCAAGGACAAGGACATCGTGGTGCGCTTGAAAGCCAAGCCGGGCAACGCCTACTTCGAGGGCATGACCCGCAGACAGGGCAACAAACTCTTCGTCGTCGGAGAAGTGGTCCGCGTTGGTGGCGATGGCAACCGGAACAACGACTGCATCGATAATCCCCTGCTGGAGCCATTCTGTCATTGTGCACTATAGGTTTTTAAATGCACATCAAATAAATAAATACCTAACATTGCTAACTCTTTACTCGGAGTATTGGTTTGCTGTTCCTCGAGCTTAAGCATACAAATCTTAGAAGCTTGACAGGCAATTCGCCCACAGCAGTTACCTTTCAGCTGCACCCAAACAAGCTCCAAGTGGATCCTTCTGGGCTCATCCTCAACGAAGAAGTGCCGTCAATAAGTTCTGGATGTGGCAGCGCCCCACTGCCACCAATTATCTGTGAGTTATAACTTTTGATTTTGCACGTCGAAGTTGTGCCAATTAGTGGCCACTGCCGCCGGGCGAGTCTTTAAAAGTTTGCCGCATGACTTGGCAGATGCCAATGGAGTGGACCACCTGCGGGCGGAACTTTGAGGGATATATGTATGTGGGTGGGGTGGACCAACTGCGATTCCGAACTAATGGCATAAGCCGCTTATGTACCATGTACTCGCACTCGCACTCGCACTCGCAGTTTGCTCTTACTTTTAACCCACTCACCAGCAAAACTTTTTTAGGATTATGGCAGACTTACGCAGAGCACACTTATGGCGCCGCCGAAAGAGACAGATAGAGGGTGCGCGACAGAGAGGGGGCGAGGGAGCAAGAAGCGAACGCTTTATAGTTTCAATATTTGCTTTGTCCTGTTCGGTAAAAATCCCCTGGGCACATAGGGCAGCCAGAGCTGCACGGATTTATAAATGGACTGGCAAACATTTGGCCAAAACTTTAAGAGAAGAGGAGAGGGGCAGGCGTGGGGGGAGTCAAATGTTTGCTCCGTTTTAAAGGAGTTGAGCTTTATTGTTTTTGGCCAATTAGTCTTGGTCTCTAACCCGTCTCGGCAATCGTCTTGAATCTCTCCCCAAGGTGTCCTTAGCCGAACGGAATTTATATACCCTCACCTCGGGGCATCCTTGGAATCCTTTGACGTCAGCCAAGGAAGCGTTAAAAATGTTTTATGGCAGCCGTAACCCTTGAAGTAGAAAAGCTGCGTTCGCTAATTCAGTGAATTTGAAGTAAGCCCCATAGAAAATGTTGCCCTGGAAGACTGTAGTTCAAATTCAGCAATGCAATATATTTAATATACATAAAGAATACAAATGTATAGGGTACCACCGCTTCGACTCAGCATTTCATAGCTTGCCTTATTTTCATTTTGCGTGTGAAGCTGAGAAATGTGAGATAGCCGGCGAAAATTCCGTTTTCCGAGCTTAAGTTGCTGCTAAAATGATTTATGTGCCCAGTTTATTTATTGCACCTCGATGAATACAAATTTAAATGTTTCGCCAGGAAAATTCAACCGTAGAACTCAACTGAGGTGGAGAAGCATACGGATGAAAAAAAGGGATAATCGAATTGGTAAGGGAAAATGAAACTGGAACCTCCCAACTAGAACATAAAATGCATTCAAAGCTTCAATTGTTAAAATTTCACAAAAAAAAGGTATATGTGCTTATATGGATTATGTTATTTATGGTTGACTGCTGGGAATGGGATCAGCAAACAGCGAAATTTATAGATATAAATTTGCCAAACGGATGCTTTGTTGGGCACCAGAGGATTTTGTGCACTCGTTTGGAAGGATTTCGCTCCTCTTCAGCCTGTTCAAACAGATTGCGAATAATGCGAATTGAGTTGTGCAAGCAGAAACAGAACGATTTTTGAGAAAGTGAGCCCAAACAGACTAATACATCGAAGTGAATTTCCTGATCAGCTCAGCCTGATTGCTCTGCTGAACTCAATTTGAATTTGATTAATCCAACACCAACTGAACACCACTTAATTCCGCCTAAATACTCGGTCCTTCATTAACTCACTCCGCACCAACAAACCTTTTATGCAAGGATTCCATTTTCACTGAAGTATGTTTAGCAGCTAACGCAATTAAACAGCTCTCTCTCAAATAACAACCTCAAATTATTAGATAGCCACACAAAGAAGCAACAAGCCAGGACAAAGGATAACTGACACGGACAACTACAACTACAGTGGAGTGTCAGGATGACCACAACAACCACAGCAGTTCATAAGGAAGCTGAAAACAAGACCAAGTCAGTAAATTCGCTTCTAAAGGGAAAAACCAGAGGATGAGGCAAAGCAGACCCGTTGCTGACACCGCAGCAAGCCACAGATATCAATCGGGCAACTAATTGTCCAGGTTATAGCCGGAATAACCGATGCGATTGGTCAAACATTTTCAATATTTCCTGAAAAACAGCAGTTTTCCCACTCCCAAATGAATTCCCCAGGGGAAACCTCAAGCATTTCCCACCTTCCTTTGTTTTCCGGGCCATTCCAAACAATAAGTTGCCATTTTACTGCCGAATGCTTAACCTTGTCCTCAATCGCAAAGGGAGCATTCGACTCCTGTTCTCCCACGCTTTTCCTCCAGATGTTGCCCAAGATTATTTTCACCATTTTCTTTGTGCCCTTTGTTCGGTTGCCTAGAAAAGAAACATTTCCCAGGAACATGGGGAGCAGTTCTTGTGGGCTGGTGCCTAATCAGATATTTACGCCCCAGGCGGTGGCTCAAAGTAGAAAAATATCCAGCAGAACACCTTCAGTACACCGAGAGAAAAAGTACCTAGTATGCAGGGAAAATAGCATGTTGTATTGAGTTAAGTTCACACAGTGGCATTTCTCCCAGTGAACTCGAATTTCATTTGAGCTCTGGGCCTTCGACTCTTGCTGGGTGTTAAAATAAATGAGGAGCATTTAAGGCCAAATCCCCATGGCAGACCAACAGCTTCCGCAGTCCGAATCCGAATGGAATCGATATGTGAGCCCACTCCTCCCTTTCCATTTCCCTGTTTCCTGGGAAATCCGTTTCCTGTCAAGCTCTCACTTAATTGGCAGCATTTATCAAAAGTTCATAGAAACAATGCTGGCAAATTCTGCATAAATTTGAGAGTGGTGGCAACCTGGAAACGAAGGCGCAGTAGGCGTGGCATAAATCCTAGACATCCGAGACATACATCTGCATCAGAACGTGTCCAAGTAGAGAAGCCCAGAAATCAGGTCGCAGGTCCACTTTCTCCCTCCCAGAGCTCCATTGTGTGTTCCCTGTGTGATGTGTTGTGTGTGGAAAAGAAAAGTGGGAAAACGGAAGGTTCTGGGAGAAAGGAAAGTTTGTAGAGCACATTTCACTTGACCTGCATGGCGGATTGAGATCCTCGAGCGCAAATGGTAGGGGAAATGGTATGGAAACCGTTGGAGGAGCAATAAAGTTTGCGGAACATTTTCATTGTAGGCCAAGGCAAATATTAAGAGCAGGTTGAGGGGTGGTAAATCGAACTGCAGACATATCTCCTTGATTGACTCCTCCCCAAAGTAATTATCTCCCATTATGAGAGTGGAATTAACACTCAATGCTGTGAGGCGCTTTAATCGCTGCTCAACCGCAATTTTCGTCTCTCGAACATCCTTCGCCTTTCCCCCCGGAATTTCCCTTCCGGTCCAATTGGCAAACCTCGAAAGCGGAAGGATATTGCGCCTACTGCACGAAATGGGGGCATGGATAGATGCTGCGGTATTGTTAATGAAATCCCAGCTGCACTTCCGCATATGAATAATTTATCGACACTCACTTCGATATGGACTTGTACACTCGTATGGGTTTGGACATTCCAGCACTCACTGCGAAAATGCAAATATTAAAACTGTTATGAATGTGAGTGCTACTTTCCCGCTGGTGAGTCCTTAATCCTTCACTGCCCTTCACTAATGCGGCCCCATCCACAAGAGGAAAGGGGTATGGAATTTTCCGGGTGCTGGTATCCCTGTTGGTTTCCAGTTTCCACGCTTTCCGGCATATTTAAAGTGTTTGCAAATCACGGCTGTGGGAATTAGCAGGGGGTTGAATGGGAAAAGCGTAGATGTGCTCGGGGATTTCATCTGGTCGACTGCACCATTCTGACCAAATGGCTAACATTGGCATGGGAAAAAGGACGAAGGCCTCCAACGAGGGTACCATATATGAAATGTCATGCGGGTTTGCATTCTGATTGCATTCAGATGAGGGGTGAAAGGTGAGAGATCTATATGGGTATTACCAGGATTTAAGGAAAAAAGCGTTACCCCAGTTTGATTAAATGATTTTGCATTTAAGTTTTCAACAGACAAGAGTATCCAAAATAAAAGAGGATAAACCAAGGCGTGTGCACAGCCTGAGAGCAAGGGAAACTGACAAACAATGGTCGGTCTTCAATCCGCAGGATCCAGCAAGACAACCAAGACAACCACGAACTATCCACGTCACAAACAGGAGCAGGCAAACAGCGGAGACAGCCGACAAGGACGATAATCAACTGGTAAACAGCCGCAGAGGATGGAAACCACCACCCAATCTCCTCCTGCCTCTGTCCTGCAAGGACCTTCCTCGTCGCTCCACTGCAGCAGCAATTAAATTTCCCTGATTCCCTCTAATTGCGTCAAGAACGGGCAACGAAATCTGCCACGCCCCGTTTGAGCCGCCCACGAGTTAGTGGCTGCTATTAAAAAATCATAAATTAAGCAGTGGGATCCTTTTGCTTCTGCGACGTATCTGTCCTCAATTCCTTGCACTTGGTTGGTTGGAAAGTGCTGCAGTCGCCAATAAAGTGTTATTTAATTGCTTTTGGCTGTTTATTGTGAGTTTTTCTGTTTTATTTCTTTTGTCGCAACTAAAAACCATTTTGCAATATGCCTTTGAACCATTTTCATTGCATTTTCATAGCCTCTATTGTTAATTAACTTGCTCTTCTCTTGCTTTTCTAGCTTTTCTTGCTATTTCTTTTGAATCTATGCTTGTGGTTCTGTTTGGCTTATTTTCCTGGAAAAAGAAACTCTTCCGAGCTGATTGCACTCAGCTGATGAACTCTTTAAAAATGTATTCAAAGTTTAAGGACGGGAATTAGTTGGCCAAAGGCGACCTTTCCTCTCTCCTTTTGTGTGCCTTGGATATCTTACGGAATATCCTGATTCTGGCAGCCTTGAAACAAGACTCTGCCATAAAATGAATATAAACTTGG